TTTAAAAGTATTTTAATCAGAAACACAGCTGGTAATATTTGGTTTTAATTCGGCTTTTATCGGGGTTTATTTTTTGTATTTTTGTATTTTTGTATTTTGTATTTTTTGTATTTTGTATATATTATTTGTTTTTAATATGCTGTGAACCGCCCTGAGTCCTATGGGAGAAGGGCGGTATACAAATTAAAATAATAAATAAATAAAATAAATAAATACAATATTAAAATCCCATCAGACCATCATGAGAAGTGATAGTAGCAGTGAATACGTCAATTTTAATTTTTAATTTGGTGGATATTGATAAATATAAACCATACAAACAAAGCCTCTTTTGGGGTCCTCCATAATTTTTAAAAGTGGGAAGGGTTCCCGAGAGAGAAAAAAAATGAAGACGGTCAGAGGAGATCAGTGCAGCTGGCCAGCAGATGGCAGCATGGATGGCTAGTCATCTTCCAGACTGATTCCAGAATACATCATAGAATGATGCAGTAGACTTGACTGTTTCTCCTCTGCTTACAGCAGGGGTCTTCAAACTTAGCCCTTTTATGACTTGTGGACTTCAACTCCCAGAATTCCTCAGCCAGCGTTGCTGGCTGAGGAATTCTGGGAGCTGAAGTCCATAAGCCATAAAAGGGCCAAGTTTGAAGACCCCTGGCTTTCAGCAACAGCCCTCTCTACGACACAGATTGCCTTTCAGCTGGTTCATTCTTAAGACTTATAAAATACAAATCGTAAAATAAAAATACTTTAGCAATCCGTCATGCACAAATTTCTTTCCATCCAATATTTTGTGAATATGTGAGATCTTGAATATATTCTGGCAGAACCAGAAATCTATTGTTTCTTCTGGTCAATGAAGAGCAACTTATGTTAAGCTGGAAGTTTTATCCCACATTTCCTTATCCTCAATAAGACCTACCAAGCTTTGGTTGAGATGCATTTTTATTTAAGTAGAGTTGATATGCAAAGGGCATAAATAGGAAGATCACAGCCCCTAAAAATGATATTCTCAAACACTGAATCCCAACATGTTGCTTTTCTCCATGGAGAAAATACACCTTTTCATGTTTGTAACTTGCAATATAGCATTCTGCACTGATTTTGAAAAAAAATGGTTTTTGTCCAAATAGAAGCAGAGGCATCTGTGTTGTTATAATAATACAAAAATGAAAGATTTAATGTTTTCTCTTTTTTTAAATAAACTTATAACAATTGAGCAACAAAGATTAATTGGGTTCCAATTCTTCAGCCTAACAGAGGTGATCTTCAGTCACCTTTCTCCCTTTCTCCCTGTGTTTCCCCAAGGGTAGAAAGAAAGCAAGTATTTTAGTTTATTAATTCAATTGTCTTTTATGCTTAGCTTTCCTTATCTATTTCTTTCAGATCTGGAATATTGCCATCAATAAGCTGACTTTCTTGAACTCGTACAAAATGAAAATGTCTGTCATCATAGGAATCACACACATGGTTTTTGGGGTGGTACTTAGTCTCTTCAACCATATGTAAGTGTTAGTGCCTTTACAGGCACAGCAAACGTTTGGATGATATTCTACTGCAGCTGTCCCAATCCACTCTGTCTAGATATCAGAGTGACTGACTTCCCTTGGTGTTCCACATACTAATCTTTATCTTTTTCTACTCCTCCTTGAGATCACACTATGTAATGGATATCTATAACCACCCCAGTAATGCTTTCTTTCTCTTGTTTCATTATTTGTCTAGTTATTTCAAGCAAACTACCAACATTGTCCTGCAGTTCATTCCAGAGATGATCTTCATAATCTCCCTATTTGGTTACCTCGTCTTCATGATTATTTTCAAGTGGTGCCGATTTAATGTGCATAATGTCCAGAATGCTCCGAGCATCCTCATTCACTTTATCAATATGTTCATGTTTAGTTACAACGATCCAACAAATCGTCCTTTATACGAGCATCAGGTATAAATGTTTCATTGTCAACTGTGAATGTCAAATGAAATCTATCACTACAATTAGAGAGCTTTTACTTGATGTACATGTTGGTTATGATTCAGTCCTACTCATTTCAGCACACCTAACAAAGAGCACATTTTATTCACGTCAGCAAGCACATAATGGCAGCAGTTGTGTGATGATGTTATTGCCCACGTACTGTCATTTCGGTGTTATGGTAGTTTGCTACAGACAGCGCTGCACATAAGCATTCGGTATCATAATGCAGAGATATTGCAATAGTAATATAGATACTAATTCAAGTGTGTAGATATTCTCCCTGGGACCACACATCAGGTTTGGCCTTGGTTTGTTATATAGTACAGCCCAGCATGGATATCTTGTTTTGTGTTGTCAGATAGATGTGAGGTGACTCAACAATTCTTCAGTTCCTACAGTTTCATTGTTGTTTTCAATAATGTATCTTTATCTATATTTATTGTTAGCAGCTTTGAGTTATTTATTAAGATGGGCATCTGTACAAGTTTGTTAAATGAATAAGTGGGGCAAATATTTGGATTCATATAATATGTAAAGCCAAACAAATCCAATTTTGGCTTACTGTGAAATTAACCAAAATTTGGCCATCTTCATATAATGCACCGAGAAAGAAATAGAAAGTCTGCATTCACAGATTGTATAAAATCAAACTCAATAAAATACTTTATAGTTTAAAGCATTATGTCCTATGAAAAGCCAGACTCAGAGAAACATTATTCAGAGATAGGTTATTTAGCTGGCCTTGGAAACAGTAGCAAAATGATTAGCTAAGCAGGACAAGAGGTGGCTACAAGACTGGATAGCTGGTATATAGTCCTCCACCTACTTGCAGCCTGGATGTTTTGGAACATTAAATTATGCTTGTAAAAAAATAGATATTCAGATCTAATAAGTTTTGAAGACATCACTCAAACTGAATGATAATAATTTAGGTCAGGATACAGAATTAGCATTGCATAGAGAGAGAGAGAAAAATAAGTCAGTCAGCGCATATTTTTAAACACAGATGACAAACTGGGTTGTTTACTTACTCAAGGGCAAAATTGCAGTCAGCTTGCTGTCATTGTCTAACCATCTTGCATTATCTTGAAGCAAACTCAGTGTCATTTCTGTTCACTTGCAGCTGGGAATGTCAAATTGAAAGGGAAATAATTTTCTTTGGCTCAGTGGTATTCATGGGAAGGGTTCAAAAATCAAGATGGCCTCTGCAACTGCATGAACAAATCCCTGCCCCTTGTTTATGAGTACTGTACAACATATTATTAAAAAGGCAGGATTTCAATCACACAAGTTCTTAATTTTTGTGGAACCCCATTCCTACCCCTTGTGAACACGCATGCCCCATTTCTATTTAAAACTTATACTGTAACTCCTTATAGATAATTAATTTATTCCTTCAGGCAGAGACTGACCTGAGAAACCTTTCTCGTTCTGACCAATCTGAGTTATTTCTTGATCTCAGTCTATTACACGCAAGCATTCTAGAAGTTAGCCTCATTGGAAAAGTCATAATTTAAGATAGTATATTTAGGCTACCAGGCATCCACTAGATGGCAGCAAAGATTTAGTGTTCTGTATCATTTATTTATTTATTGATGCCATCTAATGACTATTCAGATTTTTGCATCCCAGTTGTGGTAACCCTACTGTAATATCTTTTGTCTGCCTCCGAAATTTGTTCAACAAACCATGATAGCTTAGTGCAACTCACATACCATGTAGAATCTATTTTTGCATGAAAATATGATATAAGGCCCAGCTAGGCATTTAAATATTCCAGCCACATCGTTGTGGGTAAGGGTCGTCCATTAGATCATGATACTTTTATGCAAATAAAATCACACTTCAGTAAGAAACACTCATGCAATTAGCTGCAGCCAGATCATTATGGTTTTCTCATAGAAGTATCTTGTGATTAAAGGAAAATGGAAAAGGCTTTCATGTAGCTATTAATAGGTATAGCTAGGGCCTGCAAATCTTTGATAAAGAAAACTTACAGATTTCACACGTTGTGCCAAGCCATGATTTCTTTAGACATGGTTTGTTGATTAGTTGGGTTTATTTGGCTTAGAGCAGGGGTGTCAAACTGCTGGGCCGCGGGCTGGATGCGTCATGGAGAAACCGCGCCCACCCCATTGCTGGCAATGGGAAAAAAGTCACGATACGTCATGTGACGTGAGTTTGACACCGCTGGCTTAGAGTGCTGTATGATAGCATCAGTTGTCTTTTTTTTTTTTTCTTCCTAGCAAGAAGTTCAAACTTTCTTGGTCATTTTCGCCTTGATTGCCATACCTTGGATGCTTCTGATTCAGCCTTTTATTATTCGAGCCAAGCATCTGAAAGCTCAGAATAAGGTAAGGGAAAAGGTCTTTTCTGCCAAGGGATTGCTACGTAGATAAAGACAGAGGACTGGGGCGAAATATCATAGAAACATTGAATTGTAGAGTTGGAAGGCATCCCAAGAACCATCTAAACCAGGGGTAGGCAACCTTGGCTCTTTTATGACTCGTGGACTTCAATTCCCAGAATTCCTGAGCCAGCAAGGCTGGCTCAGGAATTCTGGGAGTTGAAGTCCACGAGTCATAAAAGAGCCAAGGTTGCCTACCCTTGATCTAAACCAACTTTTTGCAGCGTATGGGGGGAAAAGGTAAGTAATCAATGAGAGATGAAAATCCACCCTCAGAGGTCGGGAATTGACAGCTTCTGTAAGAAGACTGTTCCGCTGTTGTACAAATCTTATCATCTGGAAGTTTTTCTTTTATATTTAAATGAAATCTGGGTATCTGTAATTGGAGTTGTTCGTCCATCGATTTCGATGAAGACCTTGACATCTTATGGATTATGGGCCATCAACAGTGTGTCCGTAGATGGCTGATAAGACCGATGTTAGCACGGAATGTTCTGCCACATACTGAACAGAGAAATGTGGACACTATTACTTCAGCATTTGCAGCTCTGGCTTTACGGAGTGCTCGCTTCTCTTGTGCCAAGATTGTCCTTCTGTGATCATATGTCTGGCAACCCTGGTAAACCAGGGTACGCCATGTCAGTCGATCATGCACCAAAAATTCCCAAGAGATGGTGTCGCTATCCAGGGACTTGAGAGATGCTTTTAGCGTGTCTTTGTATCGCTTCTTTTGTCCCCCGTGCGATTGCTTTCCTTGAGACAGCTCACCATAGAAGAGCTGTTTAGGGATGTGATGGTCTGGCATCCTTACAATGTGGCCTGCCCAGCGCATCTGGGCTTTCATCAACAGAGTGTAAACTGATGATAGGCCTGCTCTGGAGAGGACCTCTGTATCTGGTATCTTATCCTGCCACCGGATCCTCAGAATTCTGCGAAGGCAAGTCATGTGGAAGTAATTCAGTTGCCTAACATGCCTCATTAGAACATAGAATAACAGGATTGGAAAGGACCTTGGAGGTCTTCTTGTCCAACACCTTGCTCAAGCAGGAGACCCTATACTATACTATTCTGGACAAATGATTGTCTAATCTCTTTTTCTTGAAAACCTCCAGTGATGGAACACACACAACTTCTGGAGGCAAGCCATTCTACTGATTCATTGTTCTCATTGTCAGGAAGTTTCTCCTTAGTTCTAGGTTGCTTCTCTTTTTATTGATCTTCCAGTTGCCCTCAGGTGTTTTGGATAATAGATTGACCCTGACTTCTCTGTGACAGTCCCTCAAATATTGGAAGACTGCTATCATATCACCCCTAGTCCTTCTCTTTGCTAGATTAGACATACCTAATTCCCACAACTGTTCATTGTACGGTTTAGCCTCCAGACACCTAATCTTCCTTGTTGCTCTTCTCTGCACTCTTTCTAGAGCCTCCAAATCTTTTTTGTATCATGATGACCAGAACTGGATACAGTATTCCAAATGTGGTCTTACTAGTGCAGTATAAAGTGCTACTATCATTTTGCATGATCTTGATACTATCCCTCTGCTGATGCATTGGCTTTTTTGCCATTGCTGGCTCACACTTAAGTGGTTGTGCACCAGAACACCTAGATCCCCCTTGCAATTATTGTTATTGAACAGGTATCACCTATTTAATACCTGTGCATTTGGTTTTTCTTGCCTAAATGTAGAACCTTGCTTTTCTCATCACTGAATTGCATTTTGTTAGGTAGCACTCAGGGTTCAAGTCTGAAGATCCTTCTATAACTTCAGCCTATCTTCTCTACAGTACCCTTTATGTACCTGAATATTTATGTGTTATCTTTTTTTCCCTATACCAAACACTCCAGATTTCTTCAGCCCATCCCTAAGTCCCTGTAGCACCTTTTCACTGTTTGCTGAACCTACTCTATCCTGTCAATTTGGAAACTTTCTTCCTCTTAGGAAAATGTTTACTATTTCAATAGAGAGAGTTAAATTTGGGCAGGCTCAGGCATAAATGCCATAATACGGTATTCAATCTGTCATATCAAGTCAAGGTCATAAATGTCTGAACAAATACCATTTCATATGCCTTTGGAATAACTGCCAGATCAGGATCTGTCAGATGAAAGTTAAAGCCAGTTTGCAAACAAGAATTGGGGCAATTCTTTAAAAACCAAGAAAGATAACATGATTTTATTCCAGTTTTAAAAAACTGCTACTGCAAAAAAAAAAAGCAGCAGACAAGTGAGGAACTGCACCAACCATGGCTTGCTTATGTGTTTGGAACATAAATTTTGATTTAAATTCCAGTCAGAATAAGTCACCATGTAACATTGTGCCTGAACCAGCCCACAGAAATGGGTACAAAAGATTGCGATCACAGTTGGCTAGAGTACAATAAGTCATATTCGTTATTTTTGTGATCAATACTTTGTTGTGTGAATTATAGGGAGGTATCTTACACCAAGTCAGAACATAACCCCAAATCTGTCTTCACTGGCTAGCAGCAGTTTTGATTCCAGGAAGTGCAGGCATGTCTTTTTTTCACATCAGGCTGAAAATATGGAGGGTTTAACTTGAGATTTCCTGTTTACAAAGCATGGGTGTCATCATGGAGCTCCATTTCTTGCTTTGTTCAAGTATTGGGAGAAATATGGGAACCCAAAGGATTATCATTGGATGCTGATAATCAGTCTTTGTTGGTTTCTCTTAAGCTGGCTTCATCAAGTCTCTCAGAAAGTCCTACTGGTGATATTGAAGTAGAGATCATGGACTCCAACCACTCTGAGAAAACAAACCAAGAAGTTGATAGCAGTGAAGGACATGGAGGACATGACCATGGAGAAGTAAGATGCAGGAATTAGAAGATTTAAAGGAAGTACAATAACTCAATTAATTTAGTGCAATAATTCAATTAATTTAGTATAATTTAAGTAGTGCTGGTGGTGTGTATGTGAGGAGAAAGGGGGAAATGCCTAAAACGTTTTGGGGTCCGTGGATCCCATTCACACTTTCTTTGGAACCCATTTAGTTTCTCGATGTAGTGCTGTTTAGAACCCATTTACTGTTTCTAGATTTAATGGTGTTTAGAATAAATTGACTGAAATCAATAGGATTTATTGAAAAATAGCTAAATCAAGTTCCATTTATTGCAGTACAATGAATGGGAAACACTATAGGAGTATTCAACCTTATTTTCCTAAAAACCTTATTGCAGTTCAACTTTGGAGACATCTGTGTGCACCAGGCGATCCACACCATTGAATACTGCTTGGGTTGTATTTCCAATACAGCTTCCTATCTCCGGCTTTGGGCACTTAGCCTGGCTCATGCACGTGAGTTTACAGCTACTGATCCTCTTGATTATGAGAAAGAGTCGGGTTGGGCCATCAGTTAAGATACATCAATATTTGGTATCCACTCAGAACAGTCTTCACCAGTCTTGTGCCCACCGATGGCTGGTATTGTAGTTCCCCAGGTATCATGGACATTGATTATGCTAGATGGACATGATGGAAGTTGGACAATGTTAGGTTACAGAAGATTCTGAATAATCAGGGTTTTAATCAGGGTTGTAACCTTTTCAACCAAAGATTTTAATTATGTTTTTATAATTTGCTGATTCCTTCAAGATAGCAATTAGATGCTTCTTTTAAGGCTGCAGGCAGATAAATTTGTTGTAACATTACTCTTGAAAACTACACTTTGATGTTGCAGTTGTAGGAAAGCACTGATCCAGTGAGCTAGGCTTAATCTAGTTTAGTCACAATGAGAAAGAAAACTTGCATCATTCTAAGACTAAGTGAATGATGTGAAGGAGCAGTTGCAAGGCACTAAGCCAGTGGTTCTCAACCTGTGGGTCGGGACCCCATTTGGGGTCAATCGACCATTTCATGGGGGTCGCCAAGCAAGGCTGTCCGCCATTTTTTTTGTCCACCATTTTTTCCCCTTTTCCGGCGGGTGCCTTACCTCCCTTGGGCTGGGCCAGCTGGTGGTCGGCCTGCTCCGTCTCTGCCGCTTGCCAGCTACACCTCGGCAGGCACAGGGGGCGGAACCACGCATGCGCGGCGCTCCCGGGCAGGGAAAGTCCTCGACTTACGACCGGTTGGGTAGTCCTCGACTTACGACCGGTTTAGTCCTCGACTTACGACCGGTTTAGTCCTCGACTTACGACCGGTTGGGGGTCGCGGCATTAAAAAGGTTGAGAACCACTGCACTAAGCAGTGTAAATTAAAACTGGAAAATATTTAGTCCAGTTAAAGTTTGCAAATTAGGACAAAATTGAATTATCCTGAGCTCTGTTGTGGTTCTGCCAATTTTTTTCAAAGATACTTGTGCACTTTGGTTCTTAGCAATTTTTCCCTGTGTTCCTAGTTGTAGGAATTCTTTCCTTGCTAATAGTTATCTAACAACTGCTAGTATCTGTGTTTCTAGAGCTTTTCCAGAGCATTGTAATCTTTTATTAGAATAGGAAAGGGTGGTTCTGCAAGGACATCTACAGGAGGGATCAAAAATGATAAAAAGGTCACTGTGACCATGCCATTCACCCTGTGATCCGATGGTCATAATTGCTATCTTGTATCTCCCCTGTAGACAGTTAGGAGTATCACTTCTGTCAATGTTTTCCAATTATCTGCCATACTTGACATTTAGATCAGACAGAACAAGACTAAGATGCACTAGAGTGCATAGAACTTAAATTCTGGGTCTTTCTCTGCAGGAATGGAGGGTTTTAAGACTGAAATGAATGCCTTAAGGCCCTCTTTGCATCCACTCCTAAATCAGCCTAATTCTTTTGGGAAGAATGGAGGTTTCATGATCTGAAATGAGTGCCTTAAACCTAAACCTTGACACCTAGTAAAAGGTCTCCCTTGAGCCAACTCTGTCCTTGAAGCTTCTTGGAATTCAGCTTAGCAGTAAATTCAGGGGGATATATACGGTAAGTGTATTTCTCTCTGGTACATTTTTTCTTTTGTGTTTCCTTCTTCTTCAGAGCTCTCAGAGGTTCTTTGGACCTTGCTGTTTTCACAAGGCTTTAAAATGACTGGCTGGATAGGACTCATTGGGATTTTTGTCCTCTTTACTGTGTTTGCTGCTCTGACAATAGCAATTCTACTCATCATGGAAGGTCTTTCTGCCTTTCTGCATGCACTCAGGCTTCATTGGTAAGTAGATTGTATAAGAACTTTAAGGCACAGATGTTTTCTTCTGAACCAGCCAACCTCCCACCCTCCCAAACCATAGTAACAGGAAGGTGTGCACATTTCCTGTGATGTTTGCATTGCATAGCTCAAAGAATAGTTGAAATGTGCATATAAATATGCATGATATTATGGGTAATTGGTTGTGAAATATTGATAGGGCTCTAGACCAGAACTAAGTTGAGTGAATATGATGGGAGTTACAGTTTCACATACTGTATCTGGTAGATGCAAAGTTTGGGGGAAAACTAGCCTGAAACAATCCCACAACAATAAGGTCATTCAAGGTCCCTTTCTTAAGTGGTTCCACTAGCAATGGAAAAGTTGGAAAGTGTAGCCTTTTTAATTTCTTCTGTCACTTCAAAGTTTTGTTCCATTGAAAGATATCTTATTTTAATCTATTTGTATTGTACTCTTTCTCCTTTTTTTGGCCAACTGCTTTTTTATTTTTTCAGAGAAAAATGGGGTAAAAACAATAAAAATAAAGAAATCATTTCATCTTTTTCCTATCAGGGTGGAATTCCAGAACAAATTCTATTCTGGCTCTGGCTCTTCCTTTTCACCATTCTCCTTCAAGACCATAATAGAAAGAAACGAAGAATGATGCTGAAATCTGAAACTTCTGAGGTTTCTGCTATTCTTTTTCTTGGTGAGCATTTCCTTGAGAATTAAGAGCCAGGAGGGATACAGAACTTTCACACTAGGACTTTAGACACCAAACGTGTTGTCAGAGACAAGCATAATAAAAGCTCTGCCTATTCTCCAGATGTGTTGGGACTGTGACTCTTCTACTGCTTAGGAATTCTGAAAAATTTGCTTCTAGCACTTCTGGAATGTACTAGGTTGGAAAAAGGCTGCTGCTTTCCCTTTGCAATCCATTTAGAAAAATAACTATCAAACAATTAGAGCAGTCTTTCTCAACCTTAGCAACTTTAAGAAGGTATGGACTTCCACTCTCAGAATTCCCCATCCAGGAGTTGGGAGTTGAAGTTCACATCTCTTAAAGTTGCCAAGGTGGAGAAACACTGACTTAGACATGTGTGTAAAATCCAACCATTTTGTCAAAATAATGAAGTAAGAATTGTGAAAGTTGATGGAAACTTCATCTCTCCCATTCATGTATCTCGGTGGTGGCGAACCTATGGCATGCATGCCAGAGGCGGCACTTGGAGCCCTCTCTGTGGGCATGTGCGCCGTCGCCCCAGCCCTGCCTCCCCCACGGCCCCCTCCTCACCAGCAGCCCCCCCTGGAGGAGAGTCACCCCAAGGCACGGCCCGCACAGAGCAGCACAGCCAAGCATGGCAGCAGAGACAAGACTCCACCCTCGCACCCCGTCGCACGTAGATACTGCGGGGCATGGGCGGAGGGCATGGCCGCCATGATGCTGCTAGGCCGCCTGGGCGATCTGCTACGGCGGGCCGTGGAGGCGGTGGGTGGTCCTGTGGGTGGGTGGGGTGGAGGCATAGCAGGGGCAGGGTGGGGGGACGGAGTGGGTGGGGGTGCTGGGCAGTTTTGGGGCACTAGGTCTCTAAAAGTTTCACCATCACTGATGTATCTGATAACACAATACACTTATTAAAGGGCAAAGCTTGCATCATGGCCTCACAAGACTCATTTCTTCACTTGCCCCTTTGAGATGGTCTCCAGAAGCAGTAAAACACATTTTACAACAAATGTGTAAACCACACCTTTTCTTTCACTATTATGTTTTGGATGCAAATGAATTCACTGCAAGTGTTTCTGAGCTAGAGATACCATTTGATTCTGCTGGTGTACACTACCATGTGATTAGGTATTCTTTCTTTTTAAAAAAATAGGAAAATTAAAAAACAAAACATATCATGTCTCGATTCACATAACAATTGTCAGACATTCCTCACTTAATGAACCATAACTCTGGAATTATCGATATGTCCAATGAAATCTGAATGGTAAATAAGGCATGAACCAGGATTTTATTATCATCATAGGAATGAAATTCCAACATTAACTTACCACTATTAGAACTGCTAAATCTGCTCTTGATTTATATTTTACTTGTTGGTAAAGTTTGTTGAAACAAACTTTGTTGAAACAAATTGTGATAGTACTATCACATATTCAAACAGCATGCTGAAACTCAGAAATGAATATAAAACCAAGAACAAAAACTGCCTATTTGCTTCTCTGTCTCCAATATTACATTATGTGAAAATTAAATTCACAACTTAGTGTAAAAGATAAAATGTGTGGTTTTCCTATTTCCTCCACTCAACTGCTTGTTCTTGGATTTAGTCACAAAACAAAAATAAATTTTTACAATCCTCCTGGTCTCTCTCACACACAAACACACAAACACACTCATACCACGTGAAAAGCTTCTGAGAAAAGATTTCATTTACCTTAAGATATGATTGGATGACAAAGTACTTTTTAAAATTAATCTTTTCCAGGAGTGGGGGTGTATTGGCGCCTCATACAAACAAGACAAGAAATGACTGGCAAGTATTTAGTATATAAACAGGTTTGGCTGTTAGAATCCTTTATTATCTTAATTGCTCCATAATTTATCATTAACTGGCTAAACATATTAATCGGTGATCTGATTTGAGAGAAATAAGCAAGAACTGTTAGATAAGGAAAGAAGTCTGGAGTGGGCCTTAAGTCCTGGGAAACAAAATAGTATTCAGAAGAAACTCTGGCAGGCTCCTTTCCTGAGTCACTGGAGAATAAGAAGGGGAGGTAAAGCACAATTAAGCACAATTAGCCCTGTAAGAATCTGTTATCAGAGCCTATGTCAATACAGTAAAATCCTAGTCTTCCCATGGAGTCAGTTTCCTATTCTGGTCTACTCCAAGCGGCTAACCATCAGAAACAAGCTGAGATTGTTAGTCATTACATCTTGAGATCATATTCTGCACATTGAAGCCCAGGGTTGTGCATGGTTTAAAAAATGAGTCAAAAGAAGTTTTTTTTAAAAAAAAAATTTCTATGGTGACACAATCTGTACTATTCAATCAATAAGTGAAAAAGATGCTGATGCTTTGAACATCCCATTTCTCAGAACCCTCCCACAGCAACTGGGATTGGAAATTACCAAGAAAAGGACATGCATACTTATGCATACCACTCGCTCTCTTGACCCCGCATATTTTGAACTATATGAATTTGCCAGTGGGATTTGACTATTGGATCCAAGAAATGATAAATGAATTTTTGCCAGAATTTGGATTTGCCAGAGTATTCCTGACCTAAAGGAACCAACAGTCCATCTGCTCCTGAAGAAACCCTCTCTGGGCCCAGTCATAAATATTCCCTTTGGAGACAAAGTGCTTAAGAGGATGGTTTCTGTGCAGCTTCACACACTCTTGGGGTTCATTAATTATCTCAACATTTTTCATTGAGATTCAAGTCTGATTTGGAGGCAGAATAAGTCATGGTCACTCTACTCCAGGGGTCTCCAAATTTTAAGACTTGTGGACTTCAGTTCCCAGAATTCCTCAGTCAGTCATGGAAGTCCACAAGTCTTAAAGTTGCCAGATTTGGAGACTTCTGCCCTAGTAGATAATGTTCAACAAGAAGAAAAGGAATGCACTTTCTAAATAGCCTTTGATACAGTTAACCATATTATTACCTTTCGATTGTCTGGAAATTGGACACATTGGGTTAGACCAGGGGTAGTCAACCTTGGCTCTTTTATGACTCGTGGACTTCAACTCCCAGAATTCCTGAGCCAGCTTAGCTGGCTCAGGAATTCTGGGAGTTGAAGTCCACGAGTCATAAAAGAGCCAAGGTTGACTACCCCTGGGTTAGACACTGTGTTAGAATGGTTCTACTTCCTTCTTTTGGAGACAATCTTCTATGACTTTGCCTCTATATCCTAACAACTTTGGAGTACCATGAATCTTTATCACTAGTGCTATTTAACCTCTATGTGATATTGTTGCAGGAGATCATGGAGGATTTGGGAGTCTGGTGTCACCAGCTTCCAGATGTTACTCACCTCTACATCCTAACATCTAAATCAGGAACAGCTATATATACTCTGAACTAGTGTCAGGATAGTGTGATAAATGGATGAATGAAAGCCAATAAACTGAGATTAAATCCTACCATGATGGAGAATAGCTGGTTTCTGGAATTCAGAAACAGGAAATTTTGGCTATTCTTAATTGTAGAGGGTATGAAGAACAGTCTTGAAGGATAGTGAGAAGATGTGTTATGAAAGGCATGATCTGATAAGTGTGACTTAAGTCCATTCCAAGAAATAAACTTTAGAAAATGTCTCAGATAGGCTCCTCAATTCACACAAAATTAGGAAGAGGGAAACATATTCTGACTTGCAGAATACTGTTATTATAGCTGGTCTCATAAAAATAGTTTTAGACCTATATGATATTGGTATCTTAGTGCGATTTACCTTATAGGGCTGATCTAAAAGGGGTTGCACTTATTTATAATGCACAGTAGTAATTTGAAGTTTTTAAAATAATACTTGCCATTGGAAGTCTGGGTAGCTCCCATGGGTATGCTTGTCAATTGCCAACTTTGGTTGATATACCAACTGCATTCTTTCCTGGATGTTATCATAGCTATAGTTGTTCATTTGCTGGTAGCTTCACATTTAGGTTAATGTACTCTCCGTGGGGTTCCTCTTTGAGCCAGTACCAGAAGCTGCCACTGTGAAGAATGTAGGTGCCAAATTACTGAGCAGGGCACCTGGTCATGCACATGTTGAACCCCTTTTTCTTTTAAAGTTACAGCTCAGATACCAAGCTGAGTTCAAAATTTAGTTTATGCCTTACAAAGAACTAAGCAATTTTGGATCAGGATGCCTCTCAGAGCATCTTCACCATTAAAATTGGGTAAGTCACTGAGCTCATGAGTGCCTTGCTAAATATACAAAGAGCCACCTAACATCATCTTAAGCAGGCTTTTTCCTGAACCATTATCGTGGAATTCACACCCATTTATGCTCATTTCCACTGGAGATAATGAGGTTGTTGCCAAATAACAATCACTAGTTGGACAGATGGTATCCACAACAGAATGTAATTGGAAATTTGAGAAGCCAGGGAAACCTTCTTCAATGGAAGACAGGATACTTAAGTACAATCCTTAGCTATCTTGTAACTAAGATAACTACAAAATCCAACTTTCCATTCCAGAAATATCATTACAAGTTATTTCTTTTGGGGGAAGCAAGTATGCAACAGTATTTTCTTTTCCATTAGATTGGGAGGGGAATACTCGAAACAACCCAGAAATGAACCCAACACAAACATACTGTAAAATGCCTGCAAATGACTGATGCCTTGATTCATGCATGAAGATGGACATCTATTTTCAGCACTTTGACAATGCCTGATTGATTTCACTCAGAGTGAGAGTGATGAACCCTCTGCCTGCATCTTGATCTATTACTCCATCACTGGAAGCCTTCAAAAGGAGACTGGACAACCATTTGTCTGAAATGATATAGGATCTTCTGCTCGAACAGGGGGTTGAACTAGAAGACCTCCAAGGTCCCTTCCAACTCTAATATTTTATGTTCTATGTTCCTGATGTTTGATTAGGATTACCTGGACAAGGAATTGCACCAACCACGTATTGACCATTTGTAAACTGGTTGTGAGAGTTGTCCTTTCAATGACAGCCTTAGGACAAATATAACATCACATCCAATCATTACGCTTCTTTGAAGAGTCTCCATCAGCCTCAATCAACTCTGAACTTTATGAGACAAACATAACACGCTCAAAACAAAAGACAAGCATTCTTAATGTAATTCTAGTTTTGTATGTGATTTCATTGTTTTCAGAGGATTTCAGATGTAGCTGCTCAAGATTTTCTCCCTACCCCCATTTTCTGGGCATTATGGGATATTATTGCAATGGCTTCTTTCCAAATGATCAGAATTTAAGTGGAAGGAAGATTATCTGAAACTGAATATGTTTGTTTACTTCTGAAAGTTCTGAAAGAAAGGATTTATCCTTTATCCTTTGAAATACAGTGTACAGGTTGTATTTGGATTGCAAGGTTTTCTTTCCTGTACAGCTAAATATACATGAAGCCGGATCCAACCATTTTAGTTCTTACCCCATTGATCAATAGAATACACTCCTAAATCTCTGGTTCTAAATTTAAATCTCTAGCCAGAACTGACCAGAGCTGTTTTATCATCTGATAGAAAGGAAAAGATGGCACCAGAAATCAGCTGATTTATCCTAATTTATCAGGTGACTTTTCAGCACTGATGATGGGACATTTGGATGGCAGCAGGCTAACTAAGGAGTCCACAGCATGGCATAATCTGAGTCCACAGCATGGCATAATCGCTGCAAGTGAAATGTTTAGCAATAGAAAAAAAAGCAAGGATGTAAAATCTTTTGGCTGCCAAGATCAGGAGTGCATATTGAGAATAATAGGTAAACAGATAACAGATAAAATCTAAGTACAGTCTCAAGAGGAAAAGCAGAAACCTTTGCCAGGCCCAAATCTGCTTCTTGAGGTGGCCACTTCATTTTAAAATTCATGCAATTTATTTAATTATACACAACTCTGCGTCATATTTTGTGAGATGGGCCACCATATAAAGATGATAAATAGTAAAATAACATGTCTGTGAAAAGGCCAGACAGAGTATCAGTATCATTAAACTTGTTATTCTCAATATGCACTCCCGATCTTGACAGCCCAAAGACTTTACATCCGTACTTTTTTTTTCTATTGCTAAATATTCACTTTCATCTAGCATTCCATTCTCTGGTCTTCCTGTATTTTCAAAAAGAAGAAATGTTATTGCACAGCAAATTGCTCCTCTTACCTGCTCTCCTGTTCAATTAAATGTATAGGTTTGTCCAACTTATCAATGGAGTTGAAAATGTATTAAAATTATGCTATATATTTAAATTTGCTCTTCTGTATTGATAGACTCCTAACCTTATTTATCCTTCAGTGTTTGCAGTTTTCCAAATTTGGCAATGTCCTTCACACATGCATACAGTACATATTACACCTTTATGAAGCCTCTGAAAGAGCATGTTGTGAAGTGCGGCAATATTCTTGAAGGACTATGGCAAACACATCCCCTCTGGAAGGCTTGCACATATGCTTCAAGGGCTTTCCTAGGACATCTACAGTATATAAATGTGTACTTACACAACTGCTTTGCTTCCTGGATTGTCTCACTGGAATTTTTTGCATGCAGGACAGGCACAGAAATTTGAGGAAGTAGCAGTGCCAAGTTTCTGAGGATGTACTGAGCAAAGTTCTTGGGAAATTATAAACAAAATGCAGGGACCCTTGGAGAAGGCCTCCAGAACAGGACAACAGCAAGTACAGAGACAGCATGCATTAAACCCAACGGGCCAAGAAAGTATAACAAAGAAAGAATAAGAGAGAAAGAAAGAAAAACATGGGCAGAATTGTAAGATTCTATTAATATGTCTTATCTCATTAAAGTATATATCTAGTCTTCCTGTGGAGTCAGCTTTCTGTTTTATCTACCCGGGAGGGCTTGACAGAAAAAGCATGTATGCTTTGGAAAATAAGCACAGAAACACAATCTAACATTAGGTCATCTTTAAGGAAATGTTGCAACAATTCCAGGTTAACCGATCAGTAAAACCAAGGAACTGAGAATAAATATACTTCCACAAAAATAAGAAATGGAGAGAAACCCAAATAGGCAGATTCATCCATGTTGCTTTCCAACTAGTTCCCTTCTTAGAAGATTGGTTGAATTCAGACTAATAACATACAGCGCAAGATATTTTTTTGAGCAACGCATTTGCACTGTTGCAATTTGACCCTGCTTCCTTCTCTGGCTTCTTTTAATCAATCACTGAAATAACAGAGCCAACCTTTTGTGAGAATGCAAGGGCAGCAGTGATACATGGGATTGAAACAGCAATCCCATGTCTTGCTTTAAAAAAAAAGTAAACCAACAGCAAAAGAGCATACAATTACACACTTGTTAGGAAATTCCTGGTTTAGCCACCTGCTCTCTAAGCGGAGGGAAATAATTACTAGGAAGATCTTAAACCTGAAATCTGAAGAGGCAAAGATGTTAAAATAGGAACTGTACACCTTTAGCCACAAAGGAAGGAGGTAAACCCAGGTATATTGCACGATTATAGCAAGCACAGTAGAGCTACATATTTGAAAAGACAAGGACAGAAGAAGACTTAACTGTTTGACGAAAGGTAAGAAAAATATTCACTGTAGAGGTGTGAAACAAGTTAGTTCCCTAATTTTTTTTCATTATAAGAACTTAATTTACTTAACTGCATTTAGTAATGAATTTTATGGTATTAGTGCAACGGCAAGCTGATGTTCTCCAGATGTGATATAATGTCAGAGTGTGAAAAAGAATTAATCTGGAAATATAAATCAGCCACAGACCTTACTGAATATTCTGGGGTTTCATCTCTCAATCTAATCTACCTACAAGGATGGCTGTGGAGATCAAGTGGGATGGTGTAATAAATAAAACTGTAATAAGTAAAGTTGTAAATGTATAAACATCTTTCTGCAACTAATTCCTGTTGAACCTAAGTGTTCTTCTGTATTAAGATATAGGATTACACTGCACGATAATTCTGGCCACTAAGGAATTCATACATTTGCTAAGTATTGCAATGTTCCCTCATACTATTGTTATAATTATCCACTCCTTCAGTAATCATAATTATTTTGCTATTATAATTCATTATCAAACTATTGGCATCTGAAATTAGGACTAGTCATTTTATAGAATTTACAGTTTATTTTTTTACAAAGCCAGGGGGGTATATACTTAGATTTAAAACTGGATTGAATGGAGTAAGCATAATTTACAAAGCAATGTCCAGTTTAAGCAGAGCTGAGTATTGATCAGCTGGTTCTGTTCTTCAACCGAGGAGTATTAGCCGACAGCCCTTAAAGGGATTTTTTTTATATCAGAGATGGGGGAACATTTGGGATCTGGATTTTGATTTTAGGGGTCTTTTTTAAAAAAGAAATTATTTTCAACAGTAGCAGATGAAAAATAATGGGTAGGTGACCAGGAGAAATTCAATTGCAAAATAATCTCAGGAACAAAGTACTATATTGTTCTTAATTTACCATTATCTAAGCCAGGGGTAGTCAACCTTGGCTCTTTTATGACTCGTGGACTTCAACTCCCAGAATTCCTGAGCCAGCTTAGCTGGCTCAGGAATTCTGGGAGTTGAAGTCCACGAGTCATAAAAGAGCCAAGGTTGACGACTACCCCTGATCTAAGCCCACAACTTTAAGAAGATTCCTTTATGTTTTCTATGTAGTTTTCAACTGAATTAAGAGTTTTCTACATACAAAACCTCCAAGGAAATGAATGCAAATAGAAAGATGTCAGCCGAGCAGCAACAAGGAACAAATGCTGTGACTGTTGAGGAAATGGGAACTCAGGAACAGGAGCCAAAGAAAGGTAATCTAGTAGTTTGGTGTTTTATCTTCTCTCTCAGTTGTGAGTTCTTGACTAAAATTCCCTCAAAGTCTTAATGATTTCTTACAGAATTGCAACTTTACAGATTTAGGCATACAGTACTTTAATATTATGCATATGGAGCAGTTTTGGGATGTGGGTGCATAATGTATTCCTGGCACTTATGGACAAAATGTGACTTATTCAGACTTATAACATCTTGTTGGTGGATGGTCTTTTGTCCCTCTCATAATTGTTTATTTGAAATCATCTTCTGTTTCAATCATACCTACATAAGATTCTTCTTTTGTCCATAATAAATCCAATTTAGTAATAAATAGTTATTGGAAGGAAGACAACAGGCCTTGCAAATACCCCTTGATAGCTTTTGGAGTGCTGATGGAGATAAGGCAGGACATTTAATTGTAGTTTTGTGGATTGTAGTGAAATTAATAGCTTTTATATGTGCATATTAGTGCATATTTCAGGTAAATCTGTATTCCTCCCCTGCTGTGTTTTTATGTTTTCTATGTTTAAGAAAATAAATAAATGCTAATTTATTCTATTTATTATATCTATTAATATTCTGTTTAATATTCTAGAGCAAAAGACCTTTACAGTGGAAGAAGCTGTGGAAACAATTGGTTTTGGAAGATTTCACATTGCACTTTTTATGATCATGGGTAGCACTGGTGTAAGTTTTTATTAATATTGTACTGAAATTTATCATCATTTCCTAAAAATTTTCCCCTTTGCAGAACTGGCCTCAGTTTTATTGGTTGTCGAAAAGCATTTGAATTTCTTTCAGATTCCATGGTATTTTTTTAGCTCAGTCCGTTGTTCTATGATATCAGAGAATTTGTTGCTCTTTTCTTTTATTACAGTCTTTCCCGCCTCATTTGTTGCCCACAATTCTGGATCAGGAAAAGTTATGTAGATAGAGTCTCTGAGATTTAATGGAAATCTAAAAACCTTGCAGGGGATGGGCAGGCTGGAGAGATTCATATAGCCCTCCACACTTTTGAAAATCACATGCAATTTCTTTTCCATCACATGGTGTGAAGATGATTGAAAGATTTCAAGTTGCTTTTTCCTTCAAAAGGCAACTGGACTGTTTTTTTCCGAAGAAGAAGAAGAAGAAGAAGAAGAAGAAGAAGAAGAAGAAGAAGAAGAAGAAGAAGAAGAAGAAGACGACGACGACGTCATTTTGCTTCTCAACCAAGGAGCTTCAGCAGTTCTGATGGCGGGGATTGGGGATGAGAAGCAAAACATTTTTTTCTTCTTCGTCCTCAAGAAGAAAACAGTCCAGCTGCCTTTTGAAGAAAAAAGCACCTTTGAGACAACTATGACCTGGATGACAGAGAATCTCCACAGACATGACTGAGAGATGCAGAACATTTCAGCATAACACTATGTTTTCATGAAATTTATTGCATTAACACTTCCAAGTACATCGGCTGTTTTCCTCTGTCTTGTTAACACTTCCTTTAGGGATATTCTGGGACATTCTGAACTATGAGTCAGAAAGTTCTTTGCAGAAAAGCACTCAATTTTCACCCTTTTGCATCTCCTCTGCCCTCTCAAATCTGGGCTGCTTCCCAGTTATGCTAAATGCTAACGTTCAGGCAGTATTCTAATGTATAACAATGTGGTTCTGACTTCTCCAGCAAGGAAGTATGGGATCCATTAGGCAGCTGTGACAAGCAAGATGAAGGGCAGGGATTGAAGATAGAGACATGGCCAAAGATTGGAGTATCTATTTACTTTGAATGTGTTTAATCTCTAGGGTCCCTAGTACCCTCTGAGTTTTGAACTGTAGGAAAACTAAGAGCTGTAGGCAGCATCATTTCAGAATACCGAAGTAACACAGAGTTTATAACAGTACTATACAGGCATAGGAGACGTGGAATGAGAATTGATGATTCCCTCTTTGTGTCTTGGATATGTTGAAAACCATGCATATATTTTTAATATTATTTCATATGTTCATCCCCAAAGGTGGTAGAAGCAATGGAAATCATGCTGATTGCTGTAGTGGGTCCTGTCATCCGGTGTGAATGGCAGCTTAAAAATTGGCAAGTGGCTTTAGTGACAACAGTGAGTAGAACTTCTATGGTCACATGGTCATTGGGCTAACATTGGGGGAGGAGGTACTAGGACCACTATGAGACATTATTCCATTTTTTTCTGTGCTTGTAGAATTTTCTTATTCAGATTCCAAAAACCCTTTGACCAGTTATGAATGTCTTAGTTAGTATAAATGTGTTGGCTCCAAAACCAAACCAAACCAAACGAGGTCTCCCAAATTAAATGGCCACATATATTTTCATCTGCTCAGCTAAGAATATTTGTGATGATTCTTTTCACTCCTTTCATTTTTTTAATATTCTAAAATAACCACCTAAACCTGCTTTTCAAATTACTATATGGCTGTAATATTTTTCATTTGTGAATATTCTGAACTGTAAAGGGGGCCTTTAACTGACCTTCAGCTATTGAAACTGGAAACTTCAACCTCAGTGGAGAACTGAGGGATCAGTAATTGGATGAGAGGGTCTGAAGACGGGCTCTTGACATTTAAGAAGACTCTGCGGTATAACATGTTCCTTCTCTGGCATGTCTGTTTGGAAGCTATCATTTCCTTTGTCTTAGTGACACCAACAATAGAATCTGGTCACCCTTGTGCTGATTTTTCATATTAATTTAAGAGCATTAATAGTTGGTCAAATAAAAATTTGGGGCGGTAGGGGTAGAGGTTCAGATGTTGGAAGACAGAGCTAAAGGTACTTTAATGTTAGTTTCTCATTCATTTGTGTATCAAATCACTGTTTGATATTGCTTGGAACTGTACATTTACAGTCTATAAAAGGTAAAATGTGGAACTGATGACTTTTTCAGATGGTGTTTTTTGGCTACATGGTGGCTAGTGTAACATTTGGGATGCTAGCAGATAAATTTGGCCGTTGTAAGGTAAGTGCTTTCTTTTTTTACTGTTCCACTTATTTTTTATAATAATTTTATTATAGTGTTCAGTTACAAACATTAAAAACTCAATACAAACTGAAAAAGGATAAAAGAATGAAAAGATAGAAAATGCAGAAAAAAAGATATAGTAAAGAAAAACTATACAGGTAGTCCTCAATGGTCACTTAGTGACCGTTCAAAGTTACAGTGGCACTGAAAAGAGTGATTTATGACCTTTTTCATACTTATAACCATTGCACCATCCCCATGGTCATGTGATCAAAGTTTGGACTCTCGGCAACTGGATCATATTTATGACGGTTGCAGTGGCCCAGGGTCATGTTGAATGGAACACTCATTTATTCCTTCTTAGTTCCCCTCACCATACTCAAATGCATACATTTTTCGCTACACTTATGTATACACACATTCACACACACATTTATTTGTGCATATACTGTACATACACAACAAATCAACATATGAAGCTGCAGGTGTCCTTGCCTGCTGAAAACACTTTGAATTTAAAGATGGTGCCATCTTATGCTATATGTTTTCTTTGGAACTTTCCTCTCTCTCTCTCTCTCTCTCTCTCTCTCTCTCTCTCTCTCTCTCTCTCCTTGCTCATTTCACTGCTTTTGAAATATTTTCAAACATTTCTTTATAAATATATTATTCAACATTTTTCTCTTATTTTTTGAAGCAAGCACTCTTTTATATGCATACTTTCTTATCTACAACCTCATCATTCCACTGAATATCTTTTTCATACTTCCTGTCCGCAAAACTACATAGACTTCTGGGGCACTTTGTAACTTAATTCTTTTCACTTTGTTTCTTAGAGTTTCCATATTATTTTTCATTGTGCTCTCCTTAGCTCCCCTTTTCTTCCAGCAGTTGTACTTTTATTTGTGTTTCTTTCACTCTTTTTGTTTTCTCCCATGTCTAATTTTTTTTCCAAACTCTAATTTGATAGTAGTATACCAAAAACTGTCAATACCTCTTACAGCCCTTTATTTAAAAGAATTAATCATAAACAATCAAATAAGTTATCTTTTTAGATTTATATTCATTTTTTTTTGCCATATGAAAGCCAACTGGGTGACTTTGGGCCAGTTACTCTCTCTCAACGCAGGCCACACCACAGGGTTGTTATTGTGGGGAAAATAGGAGGCGAAGGAGTATTCGGTATGTTCACCATCTTGAGTTATTTATAAAAATAATAAAGGCAGGATAAAAAATAATAAAAAATGAACATGATATTTTATGCATTTTACCTGGAACATATATGCAGTATAGTTACCCACATTCAAGAAATATGTATTTTATTGCCAGGTTAATTTTTTTTATTAGCTGGAAATGTTCAGAACTCATCCACAAGGAAAACTTGAGATAAATATCCTACAGTGCTGAACGTTGCGTTGAAGTCAATGTCTTCCTGTCTATGCATTGTCTTCCAGGTTTTAATCATCTCTTTTGCATGGGGAGCCTATTTCTCTTTGCTGACATCATTTTCTCCTTCATACATCTGGTTTGTCTTTCTCCGAGCCCTCGTGGGATGTGGAGTATCAGGTCATTCACAAGGGTAATGTCATGGTGCAAACAATAACAGGACAAACATCAGCACTTTCATGTAATATTGTGGACCTTCCAATGTTTCTATGCATGCAAATTTTACCATGAGATCAGAAGTCCAGAAGTACTAAGGGATTTGTTCTAACAGCAGATTGCATATAACATCTATTATCTTCCAGGGCAAATTATGATATATCTCTTAATCAAGTTCTAAGTTTAAGCCTAAAATAAAACAGAATTGATGGGTGTTGCAGTTAAAAAAAAATCAGTAAAGGATTAGTTTGGGTTGGGTTGGTTTGGTCTGCCTTGGTTTAGTTAGGTTCTGTTGGTTTGGTTTAGTTTGGGTTGTTAGGCTGGGTACATTGTGTGAACTCAGCCATTATGGCTACTTCAAAAAACCCTCATTAAAACTAACCTGGTTAATATTTGAACCCAGTTAATATATTTCTTTCTCTTTCCTTAACCTTCTTACCTTCTTTTCTTAATTTGCTTTAGGCTTATAATAAAAACAGAATTTTTGCCCACAAAATACCGTGGTTATATTTTGCCATTATCACAGGTAAGCCAGAAATCTATTTGTTGAGAAATCTATATGTTGCTATTATACCAACAAACCATACTTCTGGGTGTGTGAATACAATGTCTATGTCACTGCTGCCAAAGAGGCCATATGGAGGCCAACTATCAACATGTTTAATATTTTGAAAATTGTGTTAAATAAAAATCCCATTTATGTGCTTAGATTTTTTTGGTTAAACCAAAAGAAAAATCACCCTGAACTGTATTTTTATAAAGTAGATGGAAAAACTTGTGTGGCTGGGAGTCCTTGTATATCTGGTAATCATCTGGAAAGAGCTTTCTCTACCATGATACACAGATACCAATTCATCTTGAGCAATACATTGTTCAAAAGACAGGATGATTATCTTATTAGGAAGGATTAAAATATTTAGAGTTTTTAATAGGAAAAAAGGTTAATAAGAGGCAAATATCTGTACAATTATATGTAGATAATGTTCTTTCATTTTTTTTATACAAGATGTCATGGTCAGCCAATAAAACTGAATAATAAGAGATTCAGGACAGTTAAAATGCCTCTTCATCCAATGGACAATTACAATAATGGCATTTGTTGCTAGAAGTTGTAGGGATAGCTAACGACTTGAATAGCTTTCCAAGGAAGATGAATTTATAGGGGATAAAGGTACAACTGGCCTCAACTGATGAGACCTTCAAGTGATGGCACCTCTAAAGCAGCATGCTTTTTTTTTAACAATGCAGTGATTCATTTAACTGTGGTAAAGAAGGTCATAAAATTAGGCAAAACTCACTTAACAACTGCCTTGCTTAGCGTCATAAATTTTGGGTTCAATTGTGGCTGTAAGTTGAAGACTACCTGTATGGAATACATAGTCTGAAGTAAATAAAATCTGGGATCCACAGAACTTTCTCAGACATCTCCATCAGCTATATGTCATGGGACTGCATGAACTCTCCAAAGTGATTGTTGATATTGTTCAGGGTTCTGTTGAAAGTCCATTAGGCCTGTCCCAATCAAAGAAATGTTTACTCCCTTATTCAGTATTAATTTTTCTTACAATGAATAATTGATTTGTTGATTTCAATTTAGCATGAGCAAGTGGGAAGAAAGTGGAACTAAAGTTAAATATATTAAATATAATTGGGAAAATCCATGTGTTTTAGCTCTGTACAAATTTATACTTCAGTCTGTGAAATGCCTACATTCTATTCTTAGTTCTGCAGCTGCAGAAATTTATTCTCTATTGAAGTGTTCATACATTCTGAGAAAGATTGACAGCTGACATTCAAGCTTCAAGAACCAAGCTGATAACCATTTTGCTTACTTTACTGTATTGGCGTACCAAAAAATTAGATGTGGGAATGCTTAACTCAATATTTTAGTCATGTTTTATGCAGCAGCAGAGTTTGAAGAAAGATATGAATGTTGAAAGAATGTAAAGATGTAGAAAACCTCATTGTCTCCTAATCTATCTTTTTTTTCCCCACTGTTTCAGATATTTTGGTTGTCAGGCTCCTTATTAATTATTGGATTGGCATCAGTTGTTAACCCAACTCTTGGGTGGCGGTGGCTGATACGAATTGCTTCTATTCCAGGCATTCTACTTCTCCTTGTATTTAAGGTATGAAAGACTTAGAACTAAGATAGGTTTGCATATATAGTTAGGTAGAGGTGTGTGTGTGGGTGTGTATGTGTGTAGACATTTCTTGTTTATAAAAAATTCATTGATACTGGGAAATTATCAAAATTATTATCCACTTATACCAGGCAAAATGCTCAACCATATTCTTCTGTCAAATTCAACAGATTTAGTTTGTGATACAGAGTGCAATGTTATATATGCTTAGCTTGAAACTCTTAAAAGAGAATGAACCTATCACAAAAAAAGAGAGCAGAGGTAACCTCAGTGCTTTTTTTCTAAAAAAAAAAAAAAAGTGCCAAAACTCACACACATCATACAACCTGCCTTGCCTGCCCTACAAGGTTCCATCCAAAAAGGGTGCTGGAACTCCATTCTGGGCGTTCTGTGAGGAAAAAAGCCCTGGGTAACCTCATATCTGAAACTTACTGGATAAAGGACCAGACTTTATACTTCAGTCCTTTCATTTGGAAAAAACTTTCTCTCCAATTGAAATTTTCTTAGTAATTTTCCAACCAATTGAAGTAATTGATGATAATGAAGAGGGGGGGGGGTCAAATTATTCTCCAAAGCACCAGAGGGCAGGACAAGAAACTATGATTGGAAACCAATCAAAGAGAGAAGCAATCTGGAATTAAGGAGAAAGCTTCTAACAGTGAGGACAATTAACCAGTGGAACAGCTTGTGGGTGCTCCATCACTGGAGGTTTTTAAGAAGAGACTGGAGAGTCACTTATCTGAGATGGTATATGTTTTCCTGCTTGAGCAGGGGGATGAACTAGAAGACCTCCAAGGTCCCTTCCAGCTCTAATTTATTTTATATGTAATGTAAGAATATCCTATTTCTAATAAAGAGTTAAAGAAATGAAATTCCTAGAGCTACCACCAGTCAGAAATAACAAACAAAACAATCAAAGAAAAATGTATTATAAAGAAAAAGGAAATAAAATATCTAGTGCTTTCTAATCATTGCTTTCCAGTAAACATATCTGTGGCTTTCCCAAAATCCAAACATGTTTTTATAACAAGCTCCAAAGTTTCCCAAGCTGTCTTGTGTGGAACTCCTGCAAGTTGTGAAGATAACTGTCATAACAAAAATTGTTGCCATAAATTGTTTCTATCTTCAAATCAGTCTTGATTCCTGGTGACTGCCTGGACCAGCAGTTTTCTTGGCAGGAGCTCAGCAGTGGTTTTCCATTGCCTGTTTCCTATGGCTGAAAGGGACTGGCCCAAGATAACCAAACTGGCTTTGTGCCTAAGGCACGACTAGGACTTACAATCTCCCAGTTTCTAACCTGGTGCCTTATCCCAAAAATATTTTTTCACAAGGCAACTGGACTTTATTTTTTTTTTTGAAGACGTTTCACTTCTCATCCAAGAAGCTTCTTCAGCTCTGACTGGATGGTGGGGAATGGAAGGATTTATATTCCTTGCAGACAGCTGTTCATTTGCATTCTTTTAGAGAGTTGTTGATGCCACCTGGAGGTTTATCAGACATCAGGGTCACCTGGGTAATGCAAATGGGTGTGGAGCCTTCTTGGAACTCCATAGCTGGTATATCCTGCTGTATTGAGTCTTAAGAGAAAAGACAGACCACATATTCCCATTTGCCTGGCCACATTCTGCCACACCGTTGATCCACCCTTCTCTTCAAGGGGTTATTTGGGACATTTCATTGCTAAGTCAGTACCTTGATGATTTAATTTAAGCAGCAAAACTGTTTATTTTCTGGAATTGGAAGAATTTGCCTAAGACCGTAACATTGGGAGTTACAGAAAAGCTAAGTCCAATATTGGGTGATGCAGGAATTCAGATATTGCAAAGGTGGTCTGGTGCCAACTTAATTTGCAAGTGAGGGAAAGGTCCTTCATAGTTAAATGGGAACAAAGGTACGAAGATGTGGCTTCAAAGCCTTGTATACCAATTGTATCCTATTGACTTGTTGCAGTAAATTTCTGGCTAAGAAATTGTTTATGCTTCCATTCTGTTTGGCCACACATTTTATTCAGACAAATGTGTAGACTTGTAATTACATATATAAGTATTCATTATCTTTCGGGTTTATTGGAATTGTTTCTACCTATAATTGTAATTTGTGGATTGGCACATTCTATTGCTTTCTGATAAGACTTTCCAAAAATGGCTTGTGTGGACAGAAATGAATGAATTGCATGAATTGCTCTGCAGTGACTCATCATATTGACCTGAACGCTCTAGTGCTAAAAGAAACTCTACATCAAATCCAGTCTTTATTACAATAAGACTATAAGATTGATGGTACGCTGGAAATGCTGGCGCTTGTTTATCTAACTCATTTGTATTTTGCAGTTTATCCCTGAGTCTGCTCGATATAATGTATCTTGTGGAAATGATAATGCAGCCCTTGCTACCCTCGAGTGGATTGCTAAAATGAACCATTCTGTTATGCCTGAAGGAAAGTTGGTAGAAACTGTTGAAGTAAGTTTTTCAATATTTTCATTAACCTCGTACCCGAAACCACGAGGTGCAGGTCTGACCCCCATTATTAGTTGACCTGCTGATTATCCATCCATTAAACCAGTGTTTCTCAAACTTGGCACTTTGAGGTTGTGTGGACTTCAACTCCCAGAATTCCCCAGCCAGCATAGTCCACACATCTTCAAACTGCCAAGATTAAGAAATATTGTGTTAAACTATCATAGGAATTGTTAGGAAAATGACAGATTTGGTCACCCAAAAGGCAAAGTCTCCTTAAATAAACTAATTAAATCCATAAACAATGATGCTTAACTATCTGTTCACATCAATGGAATTTAACTTACTAGATATTACAAAAGACAAGAAACCATTATTGGTCCAACTCTTCTTTTCTTATATTCCATTGTTGACACAATGTATGATACAATAGTAGTATGTATTGTGCAATCTGTAGTCCAACAAAGTGAATATGGTAGTCAACTCCAGAGTGCCCAATATGTGGCCTTCCAGATGTTTCTGAATTTCATCTTGCCTATGTTTGTTGGTGCTACCAGGAGTTATTGAACTGAAAAGTTAGATTATAATTCACAAAGGGTTTCAAAGCTTGGAATGTCTTCAGCATTTCAGCAGCACATATCGAGTGTATTTCTGATTGTTCCTTTAATATATTTCCAGGAAAAACGAGGTAGATTGAAAGACCTATTTGATCCCAAATACTTACGGACATCTTTGCAAATATGGATTATATGGTAAATTTAGATGATGTTCTTCTTTTAAATTACAGTGCACAAAGTAAAATTGATGAATGTTAAAAGGAAAATTTAGATTTCTTTTGTCTTTATTACAGCTCCCAGCTCCGATTATCTTAAGAATTAAAAACTACTATTCCAAAGTTAATCAGAATACCAAGCAATTATAGTAATTTAGCTTACATTCATTCGATTTTGTACAGGATTCTCAGCATTGGTCTTCTCCAGCCAGGCATTTTTCATGGTTCCATCCATTTGACACATAGAAATATAAACTCTAACTAATAAAATTTAACTGTTGTTTACACTCATGGCATGCTGCCTGGGAACTTTGAGAATTATTGCTCCAAGCACACCTGAATAGCACCAGATCAGAAAGCTTCCATATGCATTCTTCAATGCAGTTGATATATTTTGATAAAATTATTCTTTCTTTCAATTTGGAAATGAATATCTGAATAAAAGAGAGAGTTTTGTGTAGTTGTTAAGGCATCAGACTAGAAACCATAATTCCTAGTCTCATTTTAGGCACAAAGTCAGCTAGGTGACCTTGGACTAGTCTTCTCTTTGAACCCTAGGAAGGTGGCAATGACAAACCACTTCTGAAAGTGGTGTCCCTGCCAAGAAAACTGCAGGGACTTGTCTAGGCAGTCTCTGAGAATTGTACATGATTGAAAGGGAAAAAAATCTGAATAAAAATAAAAGCAAAACAGGCAAGAAAATTACATGAATATTGAGATAGCCCTATGGCTATAACTAAGAGATTTAGTCAATCCATCTTAATTTACCTGATCCAATGTACTGAACTGTTGAAACATATGGATGAATGCACATAGTCACTTGATCTGTGCACTGCATTATTTATATGAAATCTTTTAATGTTCTTGGAGTTATGTCATGCATTGAGTTTCTTCATTGCTTAAGCAATGGGGGGAATTAGAAAATTATCAATGAATAAAACTCAGTATATATACACAAAGTCACATTCATATGCCAATATAGTCTTGACAATAGAAACATACTGTATATTCCAGATTGTGCAATAAAAATACAATTGAAACCCAGTGGTAGAAAACATATAAGCATTAGCTGTGATGTTTTCTTCTGTATTTTAAAATGTAGGCTTATAAGCATAAATATATAGATAAGTGACTATGTAACATAGACAGATAATTTGGATCTTCTAGCCAGTTAAAGTTTGATCTGTACCTAATTCATTTGAAGCCTTAAAATGAGCAAAGAACAAGAAGAGGCAACATATTTGCAGTTACTTTGTTGCTCTTCTACTCTGGAATTAGGATTAGTGCAAAATTTTGAATCAATTTAAGTTATGAGAAGTTGAACTATTTAGTGAGTGGTACAAAAGAATTTCTGGAATTATTTGAATTGCTTAGTTCAGTAGCAAACATTTTCTTCATTCTTGCATATTGGAAGTTGTTTAGGTAATTAATATTATTTATCAATCCCCTAATAGTTTGGTGTGCTGTTAATTAGTTTGAATGCTGCCATGAAGCCCTTCCTTGTTCTATTTGGGACTATCAAACGTACCCTGTAGATCAGTGGTTCTCAACCTGTGGGTCGGGACCCCATTTGGGGTCGATCGACCATTTCACGGGGGTCGCCAAGCAAGGGTGTCTGCCATATTTTTTGTCCACCATTTTTTTCCCCCTTTTCCGGCGGGTGCCTTACCTCCTTTGGGCTGGGCCAGCTGGTGGTCGGCCTGCTCCGTCTCTGCCACTTGCCAGCTACGCCTCGGCCGGCACAGGGGGCGGAACCACGCATGCGCGGCACTCCCGGGCAGGGAAAGTCCTCGACTTACGACCGGTTGGGTAGTCCTCGACTTACGACCGATTTAGTCCTCGACTTACGACCGGTTGGGGTCACGGCTTTAAAAAGGTTGAGAACCACTGCTGTAGATGTACCATATTATCTTTATTAAGTATTCTAAGGAATGATTGTTTCCCATTGCTAACCCCTTTTGTTTTCTATGATAGGCTTGGAATTTCTTTTGCTTATTATGGTGTCATCCTGGCCAGTGCAGAATTACTGGAGAAGGATCTGGTTTGTACAACAGGAGGAGGATCAGCTTTAGAGGCAGAGCTGGGCCATACTCAGGATGAGTTTCAGAGCCCTTGTCTCTGCTATACCTTTGCACCATCTGATTATCAGATCATGTTCATCAGCACAGTAGGAGAAATTGCATGTAATTTTTTTCCCTTCTGCCTTTATTTAAAATAAATATGGAGAACGGGAGACTCTAAAGTTACCTTCCACAACTACAGTATAGACATACACACAGAGAGATTTACAGACGTACAGAGATGAAAATTTAGGAATTCTGTATGAAAAACAGTTCACTTGCTGCTGTCAGCTGCTTTCATTAATTTATTAATTAATTTAGGAATGCCAGAACAGCCTTTAAACTCACTAATTTTAGTTCCTGAAGTTCACATATTTTCAAGTTGCCAAGGTTGAAAAATATTGAGTGAGATGCTGATGGGAAGTTCTGTTGCAAAGTCCCCGTTTGTAGTTTTCAAATAATCGTAGGGAAACAATGAAGAAAATAGTTAACAGAATCTTCCCTAATGCGGTAGGGGTGTATGTCTATATGTGCGTGTGTGATAATTATGTAATAATGGCTCGGTTAATTAATTTAATTTGACAATTTGACATCTTTTCCCCCTTCTTTTCTTTTTTAGTAAATCCCTTAAATATTCTTGGCATCAACTTCCTGGGAAGACGAGTGAGCTTGACAATAACAATGGGATGCACTGCTGTTTTCTTTCTTCTCCTCAATATATGCACCACAATGTAAGTGTCTTGGGTGGGAGCATAGTATGATGAAATGGCTTGGCTTCCAATGCTTGCAACATCTTCTAGCCTCTGGTATTGTCAACCATATTTTGGGAAATGGACATGATTATTCATTGAGCTCTTAAAATTTAAAATAATTTAGCTTAATAGAACAATTTATTGCAGGCAGGAATTATACATTTGGCAATATCCAAAGGATGAAAGCAGAAATGTGTTCATTTTTTGGAATAACTTGCTATTACACAAACATAATGACTTATGATATCCCCAAAGTTCAGAGGAAACATACTGGAGAACACCAGTGAAAGAGGACCATCTTTGTGAGTTTCCCAGGAGCTCCAAGACAAAACTGGTCTTGAACTGATTCAGATGCCCCTTCTGTTTTTCATTTTATGTGTGAAAAATAGTTGCAGCAATGTATAATCAGTATTGTGTGGATTTTTACAGTAGCATTCCCTGGTACGCTGACTGGGAATTATGGGAGATGACCTCTAACATATTTTGAGAGCATTGGTTGGGGGAAAAAATGTTTTATAGAATGCAAAATACAAGGTCTCTGCTCAGATACCCTATGATCAACTGATGACAGGAGAAGAAAAGGAACATGGAAGTAGGGTAAATGTAGCGACCATAACTGTGTATCTCTAAAATAAATAAGAACTGGTCTGTGTTTCTCTCTGGTGCAAATTTGCTGGAAAGTTGTGGTTGTTTACACCGACACTGGTAAAGTTTCTTTCTTTCCTATCTGGACTGGCAATCTACGAGGGCAATTCGGAAATAAACCTCCATTTGGTTATCAATGACAGAACTTTTATTATACACATTAGAAAACTACATTACATTACTTCTGCTCTTGTATCGTAGCGACACAGCCGAGGGATTGCAGGGCTCCACACCCCACAGCTGTTTTTGGCCTGCCAGGGGAGCCTAAATGGGTCAAAAGTCGCCCCAGAGAGGCGACAAAGGAGAGGCCCCCCGCTGATCGCGTAACGACGGTAGTCGATCCGTTTGATCTGGGAAAGCTCTCCAACCCGACAGGAGAACGGCTAACCACACACCTTGCTGATTAGTCCAAGCTACCGTCAGCCGAAGTCCAAAAGCATTAACCAGGACAACTGTGAACAGCGTGCTTGGAATTGGGTGAGAATATCGATATTCTCTCTCCTATTTTGTAACTGATTTGCTGGAAAAGATTTCCAAGAAGCAAAAAAAATCCTCAGAAAGTGAGAAGGGAGGGGACGACCCCCACCCTTCCATAGACGGAAGCAGAGAATCAATGTTTATGGGGGACAGAAATACAGTATATTGAAATGAAGTTAATAATACCACAGTCTGGATAAATCTGAAAATTATGAAAACTGCTAAGATTCCACATCTGAAAGAGTATTGATGAAATTATAAGAAATTACAAGAAAATAATTCTTTGTCTTAAAAGTTGGAAAATAGCTACTGACATCTAGTGGAGGATTAGAGCATAAAACTACAGCCGCATTGACTCAGAAATTGGCAAGACGCCCAGAAATAGAGGAAAAACTTCTTCCTTTGAACCTCAGAGACTTTAGCCAAATAAAGAACAGCTGACGGAGGAAAGAAAATATACTGGGCTATCTACTACAGAGTGAGAGCCACATTTGTTTTAAAAACCGCTGACCTTCTGGGATTATAAATACTTACTGAGCTGTGATTTCTAAGCTTAAGAATTGTTTGCAGAGAAAGAAAAACCTTGGGTTTTGGCTAATCTGGGGGGAAGTTACTACAAAACTCTTAGATGGCTAAACATTCTGGACTGCAATTTTAGCTGGTTGATAAATGTAAGACTCCTGAACAGAAGAACTGCTATAAAACTCTGCTTTCAATGGTGCTTTGACAAATTGGAAACGCATTGGATTACAAAAACCATATATAAAGATAAGAACTATATAAGATTTGGTTGTTTGGATTTTAAGATTGGCTGATTTGATAAGGCTAATCACAGAGACTATGGTACCAGTGAAAGACTATCTGGAGGGGGGAGACAATATGGATGTTGCATACCTATCTAAAAGTGACAGGAAACCACACCTAATATTCCCTTCTGAAGGCCCCAGCCTGGAACATCAGAGATCTGCAGGAGCAACACTCCAAGACAAGGCAAATACTTTCCAGGAGAAATGTATGCAATGCTGTGACAGATTCAAATAACAATTGTTTCAACCCATGATGAGATTAAAAACAACTTTGATGACATAAATGAGCACATCTTCAACTAAATTACAATTAAAAAACTCTCAGAAAATGACAACAAAGAATGAACAAACAAATCAAATAACAGAACATAAACCAGAGGAAAGTGACCCAAATAGGGAAGCTACAAATGAAGAGAACTACATCTTAATACAAACAAAAGAAAATTTGCAAGATTTTGCCACAACAATAAAAATGAAAAAGATATTTTATCTTTCAGAACTTCAAAACAAACTTGAGGATAAGAAAGAAGATCTAACAAAATGGATTACAGAGCAGCCAGGAGAATCATTAGAGTTTGGGAGACAAAAAATGTACATCCTACTTAATTTGTCTTTCTCATTCTCAACAACACTCACAAGCAAGCAGAATATTCTGACTTGGAAAGCTACTTGGCAAAAGAAGGCGGCTAGAGTTAGATTCAAGAGATTTGATTCAACTCACCAGATGGAGCACTATATGATTAAATACTTGTTTGAATATGGTTAAAAGAATAGATAAATTTTGGATATAAAGGGGCCCCACAGTAAGAGGGATAAGATATATAAGTAGTATAGTACTTTTTATAATATATGAAATGTAAAAATATTGGAATGGTGTATGTGAATGAAGAAATGAAGAAAATGAAGAAAATTAGAAAATTATGACTGATAAGCATGGTTTGAATACTGAGGGGAAAACAAGCTTAAATAAGAATCTTGAAAATAGGACACAGAGTGATTTAAAGATGACTTTTACAAATATAATTGAAACATAAGCCAATCAGAAAAGATGTTATATGTTGATGTTATTGTTATTTGTACAAACACAAGAAAAATGTTTATATCCAACCGGGTATATATCGAAAGTATTAAGCATTATATTTGTTTAATGTTGACAAAGGAGAATACTACTGGAAGAAGAGAAGATCAAGGAAATACATCATTAACTAATATATTGATTATGGAATTATAGAAATTAATTATTATTGTTTTTAAATATACGAACCCATACAACATGCTGTTTACTAAGCACTAAAGATTGCTATTGTAAAAAATCAATAAAATATATTTAAAAAAGAAAAAAGAAAACTACATTACATTACTTTTCGACATAATCACCATTGTTGAAAAGTAATGTAATATTGTAGTTTTCTAATGTGTATAATAAAAGCTCTGTATCTGCAAGTGTCTGTCATCGATAACCAAATGGAGGTTTATTTCCGAATTGCCCTTGTATAATAATTAGAGCAACTGACAGAAGCAGACGTTTGGTTTAGTGTAAACAGAGTTTTCCCCAAACAACAGATAGTGAGTAAATGGATAATTTGTAGATCTTCACATTAGTATAGTCTATAGCAATAAACGGAGTTGGTGCCAACAGAGAATGTTTGTGAATGGCAGTTTGGACAGAGTAATTGATTGCCAAGGTTTTCTTTATCCCATCTGATGCCTACCCTACTGAATAAATTTACAATGAGCCTCAGTGTGAACAAAAGAAAAAAGGAATTGACAGATTGGTTGCCTCCCTGAAATGTATTGATTTTTCAGTTTTTATGTGTTAACATATTATATGATGAAAGTCAGTTCTTTCCTCTAATAGAAATTATCAAGGAATGCGTGATGTTATGAGAAGTCAAATAATGATTATGTTTCAATGAAGCAAATGGCTTGGACATGTGTTTAAATATATGTGTATGTGTAAAACTATGTAATTTTGCCAATGCTGTTGAACTGGTAGCTACTAAAGCTCTATCTCCTCAGTCAACATGTGGCTTCTCCTATTTATTATAACTCAGGTTGGGCAAATAATTTCCCCAAGGGGCCACATGAAAAACTGGAACTGTCTTTTTCCCTCAGTAGCCATTCAAACAGTCCAAGGTCACATAAGTGGGACACACTAGTAAACTATTAGGCTTTGGTATTATATTATTTTCTTCATATCTTTTCTTTATTCTAGGACTGGTCTTATTGGTTTCCTCTTTATGCTGCGTGCTTTTGTAGCTGCAAATTTCAATACTATCTATATTTACACAGCGGAGGTAAGGTCCTCCTGATTTCTTGAAGTGGAAAACTACCTAAATTATGTTTCTGAACAAGCCTCTTTTTATAACTTTTCTATTCAACAGGGCAGTCTTTGGCCAGTTTACTCAGAAATCTCACCAAGTTTATTATTTAATTCCACATAAAATAATATGGCATTTCAACCTAAGCCAGAATAGACAGGAACCATATGTTAACACCTATAACTTAGTATGAGTTCTTTGCCTGTTTTCAAACATAGCTTTTTAAAAATTTACTGTACTGAATTTTCTTAAGTTTTTTTTAAAATCATTATCTCTCTAAACATTGGTAATTTCACGAATCTGTTCTTAAAAATGAGGGCTAATGTTTTGTACTCAAGTGCTGCACTGGAATCGAATTTAGAGGATTGGTAATAAAATATTTTGGTCCCAGGAAACTAACTAAATTCAACAAAACTCTGGGATTATCTCTAAATTCTGTAAATTTTGTAAAAGGTTTAGTTATATTCTTTTCTCTCTGGAACTCATATTTGGAATCATCAGTATTATTTTTTAAGATCTTGATGCCATACTACCCTGCTTCATCCAATACTTTATCACAAATATTATGCTTACATATTTTTACTACTGTCTTCTAGGTTTATCCTACCACCATGAGAGCCATTGGATTAGGGACCAGTGGCTCTCTATGTCGTATAGGTGCTATGGTAGCACCTTTTATAGCACAAGTAAGACATCTTTTGTTTAATAATTCCACTGCATATACAGGAACAGATTCCAGGCCCAATATTTTTAGTAGACTGTATAGATTGCTGGATGTTTCAAGATTCAGATTTGTAAGATTTTGGGTGCTTTTTTATAAATTAATTATTTTTCCCAGAACGTTTGGAGGAAAGGGGACATCAGGGAAGTTAAATTGATACTAATGTATTCAAAATGCAGAATCCTGTTTTGGCTATGACACAAATAAAGGAAAAAGATGGTAAACATTTAAAAACAGACAAGATTGTTTAAAAATATTAATTACAAGTAGTTCACAAAAGCTTGTGCCGTGATAAATAAAAATGTATAATCCTTTCCTACTTTAGCACAATGCTCAAAGTGACTTATAGTGTAATTAAAAACCAGGTACAACATCATTTCAAAGAAATGAAAAAAGATGTTGAAACTTTTCTTTTCTTTAGCTAGAGAAGACTTTGCAGTCCCATAGAGCTTTGTATGGAGGAAATGAATTATGTAACATTTTACTTAAATTAAAGCAGTAGCCTTGTATTTTCCTAACTAAAACCGTTTTAAAGCTATAATTTATTCCTATATGTATGTGCAACATTATGATAGCAAGTTTCCTTCTCCTCACACCCACCATGAATAAACTTTCATTAATTATATGCATAGAGAGCTCTCCACCTCTGTTGTGTGTACAGGTAGTCCTCGAGTTACGAGTGAAATGGAGCTTGCCCATTCCACTCATAAATCAAAAACTCATAGAGTGAATCTCCTCCCCAACCCTAAGATACCGCATGCTTCCCCCTCCCTTCCTGCCAGACTCACTTGGAAAAGATGTCTCCTCTCTGCCACGGTTCCTGCTGCAGCCTGGATTTGAGGCTGGGGAACGCTTCTGTGCATCCTGCGCAATCCGATCCGGGCTCCGGCAGCCTTTTCCAGGCCACTCAGCCTGAATCTGAGGCTTCTGTGACACACACCCCCAATAGCCTGATTGGGCCTGGAAAAGGCCTCTGGAGCCTGGTTGGGGGGTATGTGGGGGGTGTCGCAGAAGCCTACCCCAGTCTCAGATCTGGGCCGCAGCACCCTGGAAAAAGCCTCCGGAGCCCGATCGGGCCACGGGAGGGGGGTCGCGGAAGCATCCTCCGGCTTCAGATCCAGGCTGCAGTGCCCTGGAAAAGGCCTCCGGAGCCCCGATCCAGCCTCTGGAGACACACAGCAGCATTCTCCAGCTTCGGTTCTGTTCTCTGTTGCAGAAGGCCTAAAGTACCATGAGATGACGTGAAATCAGTAGTGTGAGATCTCACCCCACTGATCTCGCGTTACTTTAGGCCTCCATTCTCTGCAAATGCACCGAAAGCCTGGAGCAGCCAAGAAAGCGAAGGATCTCAATCTTCACAGGGTGAGTATTGAAGGCCTGGTGCCTAGGGAGACCCAGGGCAGGGGTAGGTAAGTAGGGAATAACCAGGGTGAATGTTGCAGAGCCACTGTGGTCGCTCGTAAGGGCGAACAACTGCCGTGGTACTGCAATATTCGTAACTTCGGGACTTGCTCATAAGCACTAGGGGGCGTTCATCACATATCTTTAAATGAGCATTAAGTGAACGCTTGTAACTCAGGGATTACCTGTATAAGAAAAGTTTGGCATTGCAATTCCATGCTATCTTCCTCCACATATGTTCATTTCATGGCTGGAAAGGGAATTCTGTTGAAAGATAGTTCAATCCATAAAAAAAATAGGCCAGAAAGGATTTACAGATGAATTGTCAGAATTGCACAACATGGCACTAATACATTATCTAATTGTAGGTACTTATGAATGCTTCTTTCCTGGGGGCACTGTGCCTTTTTGCCTTGGTTTGCATTGTGTGTGCTATCTCGGCATTCACTCTACCAATAGAGACCAAAGGGAGATCACTTCAGGTGGGTAATTCAGCTTGCTTCTGAAGAGAAGGGTCATTCAGTTCTATTACCAAATATAAAGCCCTTGTAGAAGTAGCTTTATTTTAGGAAGTAAAAATGTTTTTTTTAAAAGACCCTTGCAAAGAATTTCAACTTTTGTATCTGAAGTCAACTATGGCATGAACCCTAAAACAAATGGCTAGCAACTTGATAATGAAGATCCATATTCAAAAGCAAATGCAGATTTAGGCAGTTCTCAACTTACGATCACAATTCCATCATTAACTGATGCAGTTATTGAGTCATACCCAATTTTAAAACTTTTTTTGCCATAGTTGTTTTCCCTGATTGTTAAATGAATTCCGCTTTCCCCATTGACTTTGCTTGTCGGAAGCAGGCAGGGAAGGTCGCAAATGGCAATCACATGAACCCGGGACACTGCAACCATCATAAATGCATGCTGGTTGACAAGTGCCCAAATTTTGATCACATGACTATAAGGTCACTGCAAAAATCAATCACTTTTTTGAGTGGTGTTGTAACTTCAATGTTAAATTCTTTAAATGTTAAACTGTTTAAAAGTCATTAAGTTGGAGACTACCTGCATGTAACTATTAAGCACATCCACACATAGCTACCGTAGTTCTGGATCCCCTTGTGTACTCATAGAAAAGTGTACATTTAAGCACCAAGGCTAGTACTAGTATAGACTTACAGGTAGTCCTCAAGGTATGACATAGCATTTAATGACTGTTCAATATTACAACACAACCCCAAAAAGCTACATACAAACCTATTTCAAACTTATGATCCCTGCAGCACTTCTGTGGTCATTCACCCTTACGATCAACTGCAGAGACCCTACAGCGCACCCACTTATTTATTTCCCTACCATCCTGCCCTACCGGGTCCCCATAGGCACTAGGCCTGCTTTGTCACCCCATTAGGTTTCACACACTCCTTCTTCCTACCCCCAGTCACCATTCGCTCACTTACCTTTTGAAGATATCCAGAGTTCAGGAAGTCAGAGTAGGGAAGACCGCTCCATTGCTGGGCCACGTGGCACAATCAAGAAGAGATACTGCTAGTTTTGCTTTCTCACCACCCCCAAGGTTACCAATGCTGGCATAAAGCTAGTGTTTGTAGCACTGGAGAAGCAGAACAGAGCAGGAAAGCAAAATCGGCAGGATTTTTTTTTATCAGTTGTGCCATGGGGCCCAGCAATGAAGCGGCCTTCTCTACTCTGACTTCCTGAGCTCTGGATATCTTCAAAAGATAAGTGTGTAGTTGTGAAAAGAGAGGGGTAGGAATGCCCAAAGGGCAGGAAGCAGGATATAGGATATCTCAGAAGGTGGGGAGAAGCCTTGGTAGGCCCAATGCAGGTAGCCCGTGCCTGTACTAGGTGTCTCAGTCTGTTCCACCCAAGTCACCATATGCTCTACTTAACGACCCACATATTCATTTCACAAATGCATTCGGGAGAGTAGGGATGGTGGTGGTGATTAATGATGTGGCTCATTTAATGTTATCCCAACTTTCGACAGTAATGGACAGGCTCCGTGACTGTTGTAACTCAAGGAGTACCTGTATATTATTACTTGTAGAGCAGGGGTGCCAAACTGCCAGCCCACGGGCCGGACGTGTCACAAGGAAACCGCACCAACCCCATTGCCGGCAATGGGGAAAAAGCTCTGATACACTGCGCAATGTCACATGACGTCACAAGTTTGACATATCTGTTGTAGAGAGTGGGATCTGTATTAATAAAACAGTACATTACATAAGTTATTGGAAATATTCTTTTTAAATTAAGTGGAGGACTGCAGTGAAAAGTTGCATTGCATCTATGGAACCTAATAAGAATGTTGATTATAATGCATATAGCTCTAACAGAGTAGGGAGTTTCATGACAGAAAAAAAAATACTTTCATGGCCCCATCTCTAATATTCTGTAACAGGCTCTAATTTGAGATTAAATTGTCTCTTATACAAACTTTGATGAAGCTCTAATTCATGTGATTGGCCCAATATGGAACATCAATGGAGATATAAAGATTATGTTTACAATAACATTTTGAGATGATGACATCTAAATTTATTTTTTACTCAATTAAGTTACACATTACAAAGCCTTAAATCTGATTCATCAGAGGAATCAGAGCAACCAAGGTACACCATACAACAGGAGCCGTGATGGTGCAGTGGTTAGAATGCAGTATTGCAGGCTAACTGCTCACAGCCAGGAATTTGATCCTGATCGGCTCAAGCTCAACTCAGCCTTCCATTCTCCCAAGGTTGGTAAAATGAGGCCCCAGATTGTTGGAGACACTACGAAGCAGTACATAAATGTACATAAGTGCTATTACTATCATAATCAAATTATCTTGTGAGGAATTCTACAGATACTACCTTAAGAAGGTATCAGGATGTGAAGTGGCTTATGAAGAATGAGGTATATTTTGATAGAATTGCAGTTAAAAAATGAAAGGGAAGGAATTATTCATGAATTATTGCTTCAGAACAGTTGGCCATTAGGGTAATTTAAAAGTATCTTTTGAACTTTAGGGTTAAAAGATTATTTAGTTAACATTGTAAAGTTTCATTGCAACAAATGACTTGACACATGCAAAATAATTAAAATATGTGTTGTTGTTTTTTAATCCTTTTCAGCAAAGGAAGTGATCATTAATTGTTGGAAGAGGAAGACATTGGTTGCTTGAATCTTGTGTGGCCTACAATTCTGACAATGTGTTTTCAAGGTTAAGAGAACTAAGTTCTCTCCAGTATATAATCAATATAATAATTAAAGTATCTCCATGTTTAAATCAAGTTTAAAAGCTGTCACCAGACTTTCTAGTGCATCACATAGTCAGGGCCAAATAGCAAAAACAGGAAAACCACAATGTCAGCTTCAGCTAGCATGTACGTATTTTGTTCATACCTGCATGAAATGGGAGTTTTCTACATTAATCTGCATACTTGTGACAATTTCTTGATAATTTCTGTCCTTTCCTTCCCCTTCCTTGGGTATATAAGTTACTCCTTCAAATCTTCCCATCTCTGGAATTTTGTGCATATTAAGCAAACAGAGCAGAGACTTGCTCTGTATTAAATAACCCACTACTAAAATATTTCTTCAGCCTCTTGGACCAGTTTTTGCTTACAAGACTTTCTTTTTTCAAGGATCACATTTTTCTCAATTTGTTATAAAAAGTATCCTATTGTTTTACATAGTTTTATGAACTTAGTTTCCATTATCTGAAACAAATACAAATCTCTGTATTGATCAGCTAAATAAAGTGAACCTTACATAGATTTTTTAAAATGTGCCTAGCATATAAAGTCATGTTTACTGTCAAGTATTGCATCTTTCTTTATTCCACTGCATAAAGCGGAATATGCTATTCAATTCCACTGACAGACAAATAAAAAATGACCTTTTCATTTCTCGAGAGGTAGCTAATTAATGGTTTTTATCTTGAGAAGTACTAACTGCTTAAGATCTCTATATTTCAGTATTTGAATTAGCTGTGCTATGGCTTCTTTGTTGTTTCTTTCAAATTTCTGCTGAATCTCTGCCAGTGGAGTTTCGATACTCAGGATGGATGTTCTTCCACAGAAGTGATAATCTAAGACGGAGGCCCCAACCTATGGGCCACTGCCCACTACTGGGCCGTGGCCTCTTGCCCACTGAGCCGTGAGTAGCTGGGAGAGTGCACGTACCCACCCCTTGTGCCACCGTTGTGCGGGTGGCGGTGTTGCCATGAACCTTGCACGGGCAACAGCACCGCGAACAGGTGGGTGGCGGCATGCCTCACGCAGGTGGCGGCATTGCCACAAACTCTGTATGGGCGGCGGCAACACAAGAGGCAGGCAGCATGATCCTCGCGCTGGTTGTGGCATTGCTGCGAGCCTGGCGGTGGCGGTGCCATAAGCCTCACAGGTGCTGGCGTCACTGCAAGTTTCGCGCACATGCTCACAGCTGTTTGCATGGTGCGCATGCTCACAGCCTGTTTGTGCACGCATGTGCACGGGTGGCCACATTCATGTTTGCACATGCAAGGCACCTGCCCCTCCCTCTCCCACCGGGCCACCAACCCAGAAAGGCTGGAGACCCCTGATCTAAGACTAATTTAAACAAGTAACATAGAGAAGCTTAAACTTACTTCTGCTGTTATCTGAAGTGAAAATAAGAACATGAAGAATGAGATTTGAGTTCCAAGAAGAAAATAAATAAATTCAAATGAGAAAAATTGGTTAAGATAGGAGACAATAATAATAAGTACCAGGTCCCTTTCCTTCCCCACCTACCATATCTTCCCATGCACCCATTATCAATCCCACCCTCTCCCCCCAACCATTCCATTTTTATCAAGATGCTCCATTAACAGAATAGAAGGATGCACCCAACATGGGCACTCAGCACTTCTGCTTCACATTCAGGGCCTATGATTGGGGCAATACTTCTCCTCACATCACTTAATCTACCCCTTTCCCATACACACATACCAGTGTCAACCAAGAACAAGAGTCTAGCCTGGCTTTACCAAGTCTCCATCCAGCCACCTTATCAACTGACATTGTGGCCAAGGAATGTTTCCACTGATGTATATAGAATTAACCACCCATGGATTACAATGCCAACCGGTAATTTTGTTTCCCAGCAGCTACTTTAATCACTTACAATACTTTCGGTTTATCTTTTTCTCTGTTGGGCATACTTCCAACAAAGCACAAAGTTGCAGCAAACTATCGTCTTTATTTTACAGGAGAGAAAATAAAGAAGATCCAATGGCATGATAATGCCTACTTCTAGGGTACAGTATTTTACTTGGAGCCACATTTACCAACAGACACCATGAGTATCACTATTAGGTCAAATTGCCCCAAAGTACTTATACATTTGTATTGTAGCTGAAGTGAAAAGCTTGCAGTATTTTTTAAAGTACATGTCTTATTTCAACCCTCATGGATTACGTTTTCCAACCAACATTACATTAAGATTTCTCTTCGTATGATCACACAAAGACACAAAGACATAGATTTTCAAAGAACTTTAATTCATCTGCCCACGCTTTTAGGGCACAAGTCATTATCTGGGAAACTACAGTTTCATTGTACTTCTCAGGAACTTAGGACAATAGCAAACCATGTGCTTTTCTTCCCCCAATGACTAATGTTTAAGTATAGTAAAACTGTAAAGAATTATAATTTTGGCCAGCCACATGCTTTTGATAATTTTAATTTTTTTCTAAACCCCTATTTTCTTGAAATAGCAATTTCCAATTCTAATTTAATTAGTTGTTTTTAATTTTTTACCTCCCAAAACACACTGGACTGAGAGTGTAATTCATTTCCAAATAAGCATGGTAGATATATACCAACAGGGGAAGGCATTACTTTCATTAAGTATTCCTTATATGTAGAAATCAATGATGTCAAAAATTATTTTAAGAAAATGAAAAATTGATAAATATTTAAGTAAAAAATGCTTAAGAGTACATATAAGCAGCTTACTTAAAAAAATGGTGCTCTTCCCATTTGAGGCGTTTTTTCCGGGATTGCACAAAATCATCATCTGAGTCATCTGTTGGGGCTGGACTATTTTTATCAGAATGGCAATAAGGCTGAACAGAGAATTTTCTATCTGAAAAAAGATTCTTCAGAAGTTCCTCAAAATAAGAACTAAGTTTCATTCCAGCATCAGCTACTTCAGAATCGGGCTGTTGGAGAAATTAAACATATTAATAATGTTAGAATAATAATTACATAAAATATTGCTAGAAATGTTTGTGAATTCTTATTTTGGAAACAGACAAATAAATCTCAAGTTCGTCAACACTTCTGTAGAATTTCAGGTATGTTGTAACTTTCATATATTTCATTACAGTATTTATAGTACAGGTAGTCCTCAATTTACAACCACAATTAAAATTTCTATGGTGAGACAGTTGTTAAGTGGTTTTTCCATATTTTATGACCTTTCTTGTCATAGTTGTTAAGTGAATCACTGCAGTTATTAAATTAGTAACATGGCTGATAAGTGAATCGGGCTTTCCCATTGACTTTGCTTATCAGGTCACAAAAGGTGATCACATGACCCCTGGATACTGCAACTATCATAAATATGAACCAGTTGCCAAGCATCCAAATTTTGATCACATGACCATGGAGATGTTGCAACAATCATAAATGTGAAAAACGGTCATAAGTTACTTTTTAAAGTGTCCTTGTAGCTTCAAAAGGTCACTAAATGAGTGGTTATAAGTTGAGGATTACCTGTACTGAAATGGCAAATAAAGTTATATTATTATTTTAATTTGTAATTAGATATATACTATTATTTTTTGTTAAGAGAACTAGTGTATGATAATATATAATTACATGGCTCTGTAAACTATCATGGTACCCAAAATTAGACTCCTTGGTACAGCAGAAATCCTAGCTGAACCGTAGGATGGAAGGCTGGCATTTACACTCTGGCCACAAATCTTTCTTTGGGGTAGTGATTTTGGTATTTTCCAAGAGGTGGCCCACCTGTCATCCTCCCTCCCTTACACAATACCAGTTAACAATTATATTTTCTTAGTAACATATGTATAAGAATATATTATACTCTTTTTTACCTCATTAAATTCAGCACAATTTTGAAATATCAGCCTGAAATCAGCTATTACATCTTCTGGCTTTGTATATATTGTGTGATGTGCTTGCAATCTATTCTTTATTGTTGACAAATCCATTGGCTTCTTAATTATTTTATAGTAGTCAGGCACCTAGAAAGAAATAGATCAATATTTCAGAAGTTTAGTTGGGGTTTGTTTTTCTGTTGTTTTGGAATTAAAAGTTACATTGCAGATATTAAGCCAGATGGCTGTTAGGCGTACAGAAATTTATTTTTATGTCATCAATGAAAAGAAATGGGAAGAATATATTTTCAGCTGTAATAGTTCTAAAACAAATAGCAAGCTGTATTGCGGATGATTATACATTGTATTTGTTTATTTATTTTATTAGACTTAAAAGCCACTCCTTGCCAGTACTCCAGGAAGATACTGTGACTGATGGTATCAAAATCAAGTTGGAGCAGGAGGGTTATATTTTCCCTATCCCAATCCTGCCACAGATCATCCACAAGAGCAATAAATATAAGTTCAATTCCATATCTAGTCTGAGTCCTGATAATCTATTTTCTCCAAGTCTTTGCCATGGCAGCTCCACCATCTCTCCACAACTACCCTCCCAAAAGGAAGACTAGAGACTGGCTAATAGTTATCTAAAACTGCCAGGTCAAGCAATGGCTAGGGATGTGTTGCTGCCACCACCTTCAAGGCCGATGGCACCATGGATTTCTGGTTGGGGCTAATGCTAGCTGATTTATCTTCTTGTTCCTTTTTCCCCCTTTAAGTAGCATGAAACCCTATGTTACATGGCAGTATTTTATCAAACTGGTAAATTAAGAATATTTATTGTAATGTTCCGTTATAACTGATTCTTTAATTCTAAATACCAAGAACCAAGAAAGCTTAGTGAACTACAGCTGTATCACCCCCCATCTCTATCAAAAGCAGCAGAGGAAGACATCCTGCTGACTTACGAATCCAAAAGAGACTATCTCTTTTCTTAAACAGTTACTACAGAGCCTAACAAATTTTTTAAACAGACTGAGGAAGTCCCAGCCCAAGGGGTCAATGAAAAGACCAGAAGATGACAAAATGTGCGAGTCACAATGTTCTGAATAATCATATTACTTTCCTGGAGTTTCAATTATGTAGGAAAAATCTGCATATGATTGACACAGAGAGTATTCCTAATTAACTTGCAGTATAGAATTTATGGAAATCTTCTTTCTCTGCCTGCTGATTTTTTTAACTGGAATTGAATGTGTGTATAAAATACCCATATAAAAAGATCAGGGACTGGAGAACCAGTTTAAATTTTGCTACTGTTCAATTTCTGTATATAACTGTATATATAAAAATGACATTCTGTATAGAACTAGACAAAAATAAAAAAAAATCCCAGGTGTAGTGGGATTGTAAAAAGAATATAGTACCTATTATCCTGATTTTACTAAGGAGGTTGCAGACAAGAGAAGAAGCTTTTCCAAAGCATACGATTTTGCTAAAACTGCACAGCTGCAATATTTAAGAGGAATGTGGTTCCTGCTACATTTTCTGTTAACTATCAGGAAGAAATAAAAAAAAAAGTTTCAAAATCAGCTGGAGCTTCTTTTTAATGGGACTTAAAGCTGATACTTCTGCTCTTTTATACTTTTATCTATTAGCAAACAATAAAGTGTCATCATTCAGTCTTAACCAGCGCAAACCTTAATGTCCAAAAACTTTTTTGATAGTAAGTTTTATTACTGGGTGATTTTCCTTCAATCCTCAGGAAAAGCAGTTTCAGGTAAGTTTAAGAATTTAAAGTAATTTGGAAATTAACTACAAAAGAGTGAGTGGAACATTAATTTTGGAGAGTTCTTAAATGGACTAAGGGGCCAGATTGACTGACAATTATTTGCTTGGCAAAATGTTATGGGTTGGAGAAAAACATGGTAAGGGAGACCTTGAAGGCCAATACTAGAAGCAACTGGAATGAACTAAAGATTATAATTAAAAGAGAAGACCCAATAATATAGAAGGGAGTCAGTATACTTTTAAGCACAATACAGAAGTCTTCTTGTTTAACCAATAATGGATACAAACAAATATCAGTGATAAGTAATAAAATTAAAATAACCTACCGTGGGAGGGACTGGATCTTGAAAAGCAAGGCTCATTTCATGGCAGTAAAGGTACAAAAGTAATCTTTCACATTTCTGTATGTTGGGACAGAAATAAAATTATTTGGAACATCAGCTTGAAAGTTTATTACAGCAATGTAAACTATGTAAACGTGCAGTCTTTAATGTAATAATGAATTGCTCAAATTGATGGATTTTTTTTCTACCAATATTTTTAACTTAATATTCACAAATGTGAAATATATCATTTGAACTTCTGAAATAACATATTTCATTGATAAAGGGCATATTTCATAACTATGAAGGATTAGATATAGCAAGTTAAATATTCCATATCTCATACCCATTTGTTATTTGTATATTGATAGTATATTTATGAACCATTTCTGAAGCAAAGGAAACTCAAGTTTACATTAACGTAATATTCCAGAGACACACATTGCTCTGATTATAAGTGCTGAGTAGTCTAAATTGGTACATACTCAATTTATCCGAATATCGCTATTAAAATAATGCTTAAATGGATAACATTAAAATTAGCACAACATTACTCTATAATAGTTAATAAAGTTCTAATGTTTGAAATGTACATGTGCATGTAATAGAAAACCAGAAGAGTTGAGCCTGTGGCGCCGTGGTTAGAATGCAGTATTGCAGGCTAACTATGCCCATAGTCTGGAGTTTGATCTTAACCGGCTCAAGGTTGACTCAGTCCTTCCAAGATTGATAAAATGAGGACCCAGATTGTTGGGGGAAATATGCTGACTCTGTAAACTGCTTAGAGAGGGCTGTAAAGCATTATGAAGCAGTATATAAGTCTAAGTGCTATTTCTATTACTATCTGTATTTTTGTCTCAGATTCTCAACATTAATTCATTCATTATTTTTATTATCTTGCACTTTTTTCGGAACTAGTTTGTAGAATGAACACAATACAATGAAATTACCCTCTGATTTATTGGTGCCAAACCCAGACTGCCATCCAGTTTTCTTTTTTCTTCAGAAACATGGGTTGAGACACCACGATCATATTCTACTTCAGGTTTAGATAAATCACGGCAGAATGTGCAAATCCATTCACCACTGAGAAAAAAAATGAAAAAAGATTGACATAAGCCTCACATTTTTGCATTCGGAATGCTTGCAAGCTAATTCTTTCACCTATCTTTTACAATAAATGTTAAAAGTTAATACAGTGGTTACAAAGAAGCCAATGATGGAAAAATTACTTTGTTCAATGTTGAGTGTCTTTGTCAATCAGAAAGACAATCCCCAACAACAAAGATGGTAGGTATTAAAATAGTTATCCTTAAAATAGGTACAATTACTTTTGAGTGGAATCAAATTGTTCAAACATTAACATTCTTCTCCAAATGAAACTGAAAGACACAAAAGGTCAGACTGACCTGTTTCCTAAATGATTACTTCACAGATTTGATAGAGAAAGATAGAACAGAATGTTCTTCCTATGCCACTCTCCACCTGCCACCTCCTCTCCCGCCCCCCCAAACTACAATAATTCATAGCTTTGCTGCAACAGTCCTGTGTGTATATAGTTTTCTCTCTTCAAAGCAGGAGAAAGAGAGCTATCTAGATGGTAGAAAAAGGTGGTAAGGGCCATTCCCAACTAGCTTTGACAAAACTATTTTCTTAGTAATCCTCAGACAACAAAAAACCAAAGTATTGGTTATCAGTGAGTATTACAATTGCTGCCCTTATTTAATTTATTTATCACAATTTTATGCCATCCATCACACTTGCGTGCCCACACTTGTTGAAAGAAAACACTTTGGGATTTAATATGGCGACTAACTTACAGCTCTTAATAATTAACAGCATTAAATGGAAAGTACAGATCCAATAGAAATATAAGCAACTCAAAAGAGATTTTTTCTTTATATAATATACCCACTTAAAGTCTATTATTTAGTTGTATAATATCTGAAGCTGGAAAAAATATTGAGACAGTTGATTTTTAAGCAGCATTCTGTAACGAAAAACAAAGCCACTATTCTAGATTTATTTGTTATACTTTAAAATTGGAACAAATACAGCTGCTGCATCCAGGTGTATTTATCAGCCTACATAAATGTGAACAGGAACTAAACTACCCATTCCACAGTGGTATCTTGTTTCATACATTCACAGACTAAACCTTACACTGCTGGTTCCACTTTAGCTTTAAAATCAGATGCAATCGTTTAAATAATGTTTGAGTTTATGCCATAGAAGAGCTATCTTTAGACTTTACCTTGGAAAATTCCTGAGTGTAGGAACATGACATGAAAGGTGGAACACTTTGGGACATTTATCACAACACAAAAGTTCTCCTCCATTCTGACATACTGCACACCAGTCTTCATTAGGATCATCATCTTTTCTGCCATCTCCCCCATGTGGTGATCCTATCCATGCTGTCTTGCCATTGGATGGTTGGTCACCTGTACTGTCTGGTGCTTCTGTTCTCAACACTGATGCTTCAGAGGAGTGGCTGCTATTCAGTAACACTGAGGAAAGAATGGCTCTTGGAAACCTGGACTGTAAACAAAAATTAATGTCTAATTTCATCAAAATGAAGCATCTTTTTTTGCACACGTTAATATATACACAGAGAATCATGCCTCCTTGACAAATTATACATATTATCTAGCCAGTTGGTTCAGCTGTATATGCCCTTTGTTATAGCAAAGATTTGAACATTCATAGCTTAGATTTAAAAAAAGCCACCAAGACTTCATTAAATGTTTCTTATCATAAAATGCTTCTGTGGAAAGGAAGTTAGCTCCTCCTACCACATAGTCTTCCTTCCTCAATCAGGACAAAAGTTTTAGAATCACAAATTAGAATATGTTCTGAACAAATTGAAAATGCAATGGGAAACATGAATGTAATTGGGTAAATATTCTGCCCTGTCTGATCTAAACCTGAGATCTTTTTGCTAAAATAAGAAAAAAAGCTGCTTTTCTCAAAGAGATTTTGATGAACAAATGCTTAAATCACGATTGAGCAGGGTGCTTGTCTACAAAGCACTATTTCTCAGACACTTGCTAAATGCACTTTTTTGGAATTTCTACAGGGCATGCTTTTGTGTATTTTTGAGGGGAAAAGGTAAGGTTTTCCTATATAAAAGGCTTGCAGGGAAAGGCTCACCATACCTGCCTCTGATGGCTTTGGGCCTTTGGGCCATAAATAAAATTGACTGATTGATTGATACTGCACACTCCTTCACTTCTGATTCAATCAACTGCCGGTGGTTTTTATTCCTGACTCGAAAATGAACCTCTTAGATTTCTAAGCTTTCTTCAGCAGAAATATTGTAACTCAACTAATTTATAAAAACATGTTAGTACCCTTAAGTATTTAAGACTATTTCTCATAATTTTGATTACATTTTGATTACGGGATTCTTCAACTGTTTCCTGCTTCACTATGACAACTGGGAAATCATAGTTCTCACTTGGCACACCAGACTCTTGTTTTATTCTGATAGGCTCTAACATGACCACAGGGACTCTCTGGGTTGAATCTGCACCTGATGGTTTGCCAGAAGAAGTAGAGCTATAAATGAGGTATACAGAAAAATAAGGAAAGATTACTAAAACAGGTTTTGCATTATTTGAATCAGAGCACAACAATGCTTTCAGAAATTATTGCTTGCATAAGGTGGGGAAAATCAATCTGTGCCATAATTTTTCTATAAAGTTCATGGTTTAACACAAACCCTGATGAATTTAATGCCGACTAAAATTGTATATTTTCAAAAATATTAAACATTTTTGCACACATTTCAACTACACTGAATACATTTCAACTACAAAATTAAAATGGGTGGATTATCATAGCAAGATGATAAAAAGGTAACATTTTCCATAGTTGTCTATTTGTATTTTTTCTTCATCTAGGTAAAATCTTTTTTTTTTAAGCCCTAATTTTTAAATACTTAAAATCTGACCTTTCCAAAGAGTATCATCTAAGCTCTTTTAAATTAATAGTACTTACATTTCTCTTGTTTTCTGCAGAATCAATATAAAATTTATCTTCATATGATGTATCTTCTTTGTAAAAATTATGTTTTGCATGTTTTACCTTGTATGTTTTACCTTATCCCTACCCGCTTAATATACATTGCTGGGCTATTGATGGGTGTTCTTGTTTCATGGCTAGAGAATTCTTGAAAATAAAGCCCCACTGTGCTAATCCATGCAACTTTTTTTATCAGAATCAGTTTTTACTAACATGGTCTACTTACCTGCTTCGACTTCCTACGCTAGAGGCACTGGGTGAACGCATTGAAGGATGGACACCAGAAACAGTAACCAATCCTAAAATTATAAGGGGAAAAATCATCAGGCTAGGAAGAAATCCTGGCATGAAACCTATTAATATTTGAAATACATATTAAACTGCACTTTAAATATTAGTAAATTATCTATTCTGTTATGCCACCCCCAGTCACTCATTTGTGAGATGGGTGGCTATACAAATTTGACAAATGTATCCTATAATAGTGGAAAAATGTGAAATATGAAGAGTGGGAGGTTGATATTTGTGCCTAGTTTTCCTGCTTAAAAAATGAAAGTGAATTTCTAAATGGGAATGAGAAACATTTTTCTCAAGGCCTCATTTATGCTTTATGTCAAATAATCTGATTTTGTAAAATTCTACAGTGTTCTGTTTTTTCCTTAAAACTGAGAAACAAAAACAAACATCCATTCTTCTGAGTTTCAAAAAACAAAAACTTCCAGTGGCTGAGATGGATTGTTTCATTTTTTCAAAAATTTTCATTTTTTTTTCATGCTCTAGCTCAGTGGTTCTCAACCTTTTTAATGCTGCGACCCCAACCGGTCGTAAGTCGAGGACTAAACCGGTCGTAAGTCGAGGACTAAACCGGTCGTAAGTCGAGGACTACCCAACCGGTCGTAAGTCAAGGACTTTCCCTGCCCGGGAGCGCCACGCATGTGTGGTTCCGCCCCCTGCGCCGGCCGAGGCGTAGCTGGCAAGCAGCAGAGACGGAGCAGGCTGACCACCAGCTGGCCCAGCCCAAGGGAGGTAAGGCACCCACCGGAAAAGGGAAAAAAAATGGCGGACAAAAAAAATGGCGGACAGCCTTGCTTGGCGACCCCCATGAAATGGTCGATCGACCCCAAATGGGGTCCCGACCCACAGGTTGAGAACCACTGCTCTAGCTGCTAATATTTTCTTTTAAATTATAATCAGCATTGCCTTCATCAATGCCATAATCCTCTCCATTTTAGTTCTGGTTTACTACTTAGTTAAGAATCTCTACTTTTTAATATTCATTTAATTCTATATATGGTTAAAATTCTTTATCTTCTCTTCTATTATTACTATATTGTCTTTTAAAAAGGAGCTTTACAAATCTTTCTATAACTTTCCTTTCACTATAGCTATTTGGCAACCAGCAAGGGTATTTCTATATCAGCCATATTCTTTCCGTGTGATTAGGTATTTTCACTAATGTTCTCTTTCCCAATGCTTTAGATCTTGTTTCTGTCTAAGTTTAATAATAAGAGTTTTAAAAATGATAATAGTTGTCATACCAGAAAGTCCTGGAGATGGAACTGAAGAGTTAGGAGACTGCACAGTTTTGCGTGAAGATTGTTTGGTTTGGGTGTGCTCTGCAAATGCTTCTCTCTTCCCAATACTTTCCAATGGTACACTTCCTGAACAGTCAATCTTAATATAATGATAAATGGTAAGGATTCTAGATAGGAAAACATTATCTCACTACTTTTTAACAAAAAGCAAGTTTCCTCTAGTAGCAAAGTAGATAGCCTTGTGTTGAAACTTAGGGGTGTTTGAGACAGAAGACATACAGAAAAGTTAAAGGCTATACAGATGCTAGCTCTTAACTCGCTGGAAAAGTCATTAAGGACCTAAACACATAGGACCTTGATCATTAATATCACTAAAATGATTAGATATTAAAAAGGCACTTCCAAAATGTGCTCTAAAAAGAAGTCACTACTTTATGCACTAGGTATACTTTAATCCCAAGCTGTATGGCATAACTCCATCAAGTTTTGTATTAGAATAATAAAGCATGCTGGAATAATAAACCTTTCAAAAAAGTCAAGAAATATAGCATTATCTCACATCTGGTAAAGAAGGCAAGGTACAGGAACCACTCATTGTTGAATTCAGATCAATCATAGATGGAACAAAAGTCTTCCCATCATTTCCAGCAGCACAGGGACTGGAGGGAGTGGATGTTGTACTGCTAGCACTCGAGGAATTAGCCAAAACCTGACCACTGTGGATCTGCCACTAGAAAAAGGAGGAGGAAGAGGAAAATAATTTATTTCATAATCCATGTACAGGAGATATTAAAGCTGCATGGAACATTGCGGATAAGGATTGATAGAGCTCTGCTTAATTATTAATGTTAAAGTTGATACAAGTAGCTCTGAAAGTGCAAAAATTATTCCAAATGAGCAATATATAAGCAAGCCAACAAACAAAAATGTGCCTCCTTTCCAATAATAAAACCATTGAGCTGACTAATTTACCTTTCTTCTAGATAGCAAAATAGATTTTATAATATATTTAAAGTTCTTGATATACTATTACGCATCACATGGAGAATGTACCTGTTTAATGGCTTGCTGTGCCAAAATTGCCATCTGTAGTGGAGATGGCTTTACAGATGAATGTGGTATGCTTTGATTTTGAGGAAACCTCACTGGCTGAGCCAGAGGAATTGATCCAATGGATTTGAAATTGTGATTCTGAAAGTTTACCAAACGTGGAGGTGGCTGCTGGAAGTACAAAAACAACTTTCTTAGCTAATAGGTCATTAGTTATAACAAATCTTTTCCTAAATGTTTGCTAAAGAAATTATAAAAGATAAATCATTTTGGGGGGTGGTGATATTCATTTCCAACATAAAACAGTGCAGCCTAAAAAATTAAGAGTTTCACAGTCTGTTTAAAGAGAAAAAGATATATAGAAGTCTGAAAAGGGAGTGGCTTAAACCTATTAATATTTTAGGGATGCTAGAGCAGCCCGAGCTCCTAGAATAATAAAAATTAATGCTGACAGTTATATAGTGTGGTAAAATGCACAAAATACTAATCTGTGTAATAATGTTTTTGATGCTACCTTTATCTTTTCCTCCGAATAAAGTAGAAATAGCTAAGTGTCTCCTACTCTGGACTTGCTGTAACTTACCTGAGGAGGAGGGGGAGGAGGAGGTGGTGGTGGTGGAGGAGGAGTCTGGTGCATGGGCCCTGCAATTCTAGGGTCTGGGAGCCCCACGGGACCTGCCCTCCGCTGTGCCTGCTGCCTCTGAGCAAGCACCTGCTGCTGCATGTGCTGAAGTCGAAGTTGAGCTAAACTGATCTGCGTTGGGAACTTGGATAGTTGATTTGAAGGTAACCCACTTTGTATGTTTGGTTCCGTCACAGGGCTTTTAGGCATATGTGGTGGGATTTCACTATCTTCAATTACCAAAGAACCTAAATAAAGACAATTATATTTATAAGTTACAATTTGACTGAAGATAACTCTATCACAAATAATAGATATCTTTTCTGGCATCAGTCATTGACACCCCTCTGTGCTAAACATTGTTAATCTAGAGCTACTTTATTAGACATATTTTTATTTAATTGCCTGAAACAATATAAATGCATTAAGGTATTGACCAGGTATTTACAAACTGCCAAGTACAGGTAGTCCTCGACTTACAACAGTTCATTCAGTCAATGAAGTTACAACTGCACTGAAAAAAGTGACTATGTCCATTTTTCATACTTACGACCATTGCAGCAGCATCATGGTCACTGATCAAAATCCAGATGCTTGGCAAATGACTCATATTTATGATGGTTGCAGTGTCCCGGGGTCATGTGATTACCTTTTGCAACTTTCTGACAACCAAAGTCAATGGGGAAGCCAGATTCACCTACCAATTGTGTTACTAACTTAACTGCAGTGTTTCACTTAACAACTGTGGCAATAAAGTCATAAAATGGGGCAAAATTCACTTAACAACTGTCCCACATAGCAACAGAAATTTTGAACGCTATTGTCGTCACAAGTTAAGGACTACCTGTATATACTTGGCAAACTTCCAATTAATATAGCACACTATTAAAATAACAACTTTCCTATATAATGTCACTTCAATTAACAAAGTTATACACTTTTAGATACATAGTTGTAAGTCAGGGGTCCCCAACCCACAGCCCATTACCTGGCCTTGAGCCTTTCAGAACCAGGTCATGGAAGTAATGGATGAGTGCGTATCCTCACTTGTGCTATTAGCGTGTGAGCATGTGTGCTATTTGCGCCTGCAGCAAGTACACATACCTGCAGCTTGCGCAAAAGGAACTGGGTGTGCTTGTCCGCCATGCGGAACCATCCCCTCTCCACCCCCCCCACCTGCAAAGCTGAAACGGTTGGGGAACTCTGCTGTAAGTGACTGATACGCTAAATATAAATATAACCTATAGCCAACTGAGACATTGAATCACCTGCAAATAGAGCAAAACAAGATGAGTGTACCAGAACACACACTGCACACTGCCACATACAATTTTATCTTCACATAGGATTCCCCATGCTAGAGATAGAATGGAGGGCAAATCAAAATGAAAAGTATGTATCATTACTCAGAGATGGTATATAGTTCAATAAAATATATATTCTATTTATTTCAAAAAGTACTTAAAATAAATAAAATACAATTATTTAATGTGATAAACGTATCAAGTAATATAAAGTTTTTATTAATAAAACCAAATAAAGTTCATCATACCTAAGTTGAAAATATTTTGGGCCCAGAAACTAGGATCACAGTGAAATTGAATGGTAGTATTAGATACTGGTAAGGCATCATACCTTGCCCTAAGGAGGTATCGTAATCGGTATGTAATCTAGAAAAAGAAGAAGACTATATTAATATGAAACTATCTCAGCGTGACAGAACATTACACATGACTCATAACTGGTGACATATGGGCAATAGCCCATTGGTCACTTTACATTAAATGTCCTAGTAATTTTCACGGGACCATCTGTTGACAATCAAGGAATATGAAAAACTTCAATTTGGAATGTTAACAGGAACATAAGATTAAAAAGCCTGAATTAATGAATGAAAAAAAGATATTTTATTTATTTGTTAAATTTTTAGATACACTCTGATTCCCAACAACTCTACTAGGCGTTTGTAAAACTAAGAGAAAGATGTAGCCAATCTGAATAAATGGTGATCTGATTTTATGCAGTGCAGCTAAAGAATACAGAGAGGGAAATGAAAGTTTAGGTTTAAAATTATGAATGATTAATATAGAGAAAGGCTGGGTCATCTAGATTGTTCTTGGTGTTTACAAAAATATGAATCCATTGGTTCCTATTTTCATGCACACCAGAATAGTCAGATTACATATTTGGACTGTTGCATACAGTATATTGCATGACAGTTATAGTGAATATTACATTCCAATGAATTGTGATCATGAAAGTATCAGGAATGTATTTTGGGGGAAAAACTACAATGTTCAGAATGTGATGCAGTAAATATCATTCGGTTAGAAGACACAAATGGATGAGTGAGAAGGCAAGTATAGAAGTCTAGTTTGGAGAGTCAAGAATTAATGACAATGGTGGTTGTTTGGATGAATAATTGCTCTGAAACAGACCTGTTTGCTTTAAAAATGTCATTTAAGCATAAGTCATGATGCTTAAAGCTCTGTTGGATTGGAACAGTGTATTACCCCCCCCCCCCAAATAAATTAAAACAAATGTACACATGATAACACTGAATGGATCTAAACATATATCTGAATTAATTATTTGTGATCATATAGTGAACTAAAAGCTCTGAGTGTGGGATAGGCCCATATGCCAGAGTGTCAAGAGAGGATCTTAAGGAATGGATATAATGGAAGAAAGGAATGAAACAAAGGAAGTGAGGAAATTGGAGTGAAAGCAGAAGAACTGTAGGGAAAAAAATAGGAATCATGTAAGAAAATCATTAGAAGTCAGTATAATCTCCAAGCAGAATGAATGAAAGAGGACAAGGAGTGATAATATAGAACTGTTTTTTCAAACTTGGCAACTTTAAGATGTGTGGACCTCAGCACCCAGAATTCTCCAATCAGCACAAAAAAAATAAATAAAAAAGACATTATTTGAAGGGATTTAAAAAATCAAGATTCTTAAAAGTTAAAGAAAGGAAGATAAAATTGGATTATTTGATCAAGGTTAGATTTGTTATCTCTGGTAAGCCTTGATAGATTTTTGCTGACTAGGTAAGATTGGCTTATAGGTAAGAGATGCGATATAGGATGAAAAGATCCTCTGTTGTATTTTAAGATAGCGACAAGTTACTAATACTTTTATATTTGTAGTGATGAAAGGGAAAGTCATTTCTTTCAAGTAAGACTGCTATCATGTCTCCCGTTTTCTTCATTATGCTAATTTTCTTAGCCAATTATTATATGATTTAGTCTCGAAACTCCTTATCACACCTTTGCTGCTCTTCTCTGCACTCTCTCTAGGGTTTCAGCATCTTTTCTGAATAATGGTGATCAGAACTGACACAGTAGTTCAAGTGTGGTCTCACTAGTGCAATATAGTTGTGAGACTTTGATAAAGTAATCACAAGCTGAATATAACCACAAGTTGTGTGCACAAGTATTTTTGTAACTTGTGTACCTTATCTCTTGTAAGGAGAATTCCAGTTATGTAATTAAGAAGCCTTATCTATGTGTGCTTGAAATTGTATTCAGGGTTCTTCCAATCTTATGGGAGAACCCACCTTTGTCCAGCGCTGTATAAATGTGTGACTTAGAGAGAGCACCTGGTCTCTGCCTCTTTGTTCGCACCAACCCACACCTGGTCCCTTCTTGACACATCACAACTACTGTAATAATCTTGCCCTCCTCACAGATTTTTAGATTTTCATTATTCTTTTCCACTGCCTCAAAAGTTACCTAAATTATTAAAAAACAGGAAATATCAGTATATTGTATTCCAAATGAAGCCTGATTTCATCTGGGGATATCAAGAATAGAAGAAAATGATACTCCTCAACACAATGATAGCAATATGAACACTTTTTGTGATGTGAACAATTTTACAAAGTTGACAAAGTTGAAATTTCAAATCGTTTTTTTTCTATACATTTCTCCAGGATAGCATTTTTCTCGAATTTCAGTGCTTCTAATGTAAAAGTTACACTTAAGTCAGAATTTAGAATTTTAAAAACATGAGCTTCCATTATAAATTATCTTTTCCATAGTGCTGCAAATGTATCTCTGAAAAGAAGAGCTGTAAAAATCTGAAAAACTGCGTAAGGATTGCAAATTTGAACTAACAATTTATCCATACCAAGCGTTTGCTATACAATAAGGCTGTGCTGCTCCCGCTGGAGACTGCCCATTTAGAAAAGTTCATAACGTGTTCCAGTTGTTTAGAAAGTCCTGACACTTCATGCTGCTGTTGTAAAAGCTTTGCTCGGTGTTCCTTAGCTAGACACTGCAACAAAGAAAGATAAGGTCATGATCATTTCTGTTGATTTCTGCAGATCAAACCACTAAGTCATTATTCTATGTTTGTGTATATCACATTCCATCTCTTCAAGAGAGTAGACCAGAGTCAGCCTTGAACTTTTTAATCATTAATACTGAAATCCTTTATTATATTAATATTTAGGTAATCTTTGATTCAAAGACTACAGTATTTCCATTTTGCCTTATATTAAAACTGAAATGACTAACCTGTATAGCCCTAATTACACAACCCGCACAAAGCACTCTGTAACGGGTTGAAAACAATCAACTGAAATTTGAATGAAACTACTTCTTCCTCTGTAATTAAGATAAAAATTAGATAGAATTTTGCAGTCACATGAATTAACATGACTAAAATTGTCTTTTTATATGTATAAAATTGATATAAAATTAGGAGTAAAACAATAACAGAGTGAAGATAACATTCCATTGGAAAAAAAAGTCCAGGAGAAAGAAAGAACTGCTAAAAAAATCCCAACTGAATGATGGATGAATTTTTAAAAAGCCTTTCCAGAGGTAATGAAATGTCAGACAGTCCTCGCAGCAGAGTACCCAATTATAGCACAGAGTTGTCTAATCTTATTTAATCTCCTGGATTTCTTTCTGGGATGAATCAGGAGTGGATCTTGAAGTTAAGAATTGTTCAAAAATTCTATTAAATATGTATTTTCTTCAGCACTACACCTTGTTCAAATGCAGAACTTTGCTACTGTCTTCAGCTATGGAGCATGGGGTGTGTTAGGAAAGAACATCTGAGATTGAGACCTAGGAACAGTTTTGCTCTAAATTCTACTCTGCATATTGAGTACAAACTTACTATTACAAATAAGATGCTATCACTTATTCTAACAGCAAACCAATTTTTAATTGCAACACAATTATTCTGTACTAACACATCTTTGTAGTTACTTCTCTGCCCCAAGGCCTGGTTGGCACTCCCCTTGTTATAAAGCTAGGAAGCAGTTAAAGCAGAACATTTCCATAGGGCTTTCAAGGTGCAATTATTACTGCACTAATAATATATAAATCATAGCTGGCACCTTAAGTTGATTGCATTATTATTGATTTGTTGTTATAACTTTATTGTTTTTTTCCCTGCTGGTAAATTACCGATTCAATAGTACATAAATATAATAAACGCATGAATGAGGAATTTTTAAAGGAAATATTTGTGTTATAAGAAAATGTCAACTTTGTAGAAGTTAAAGCAAAAAAACCAATAACCTACAAATAAATAAACAATAACAACAAAATACTTGAAGGATGGGACAAGTAGTAAAATCAGCAAACTAGGAAGTGGAATATAATGGAATAACTGGAAATATTCAGATTTAGCTAAACACAAAGAGGATTCCACTTTTTAAAATAAAAATATTAAATTATGGAATGAACATCATTATTTGAATAAAACATATGGATACCATAAACACTACCCAATTTTATTGTAAGTTTTTTTATAGATAACACTCCATTTATCAGAGGAAAGATGTAAGGTATTAGAGGTAGTCCTCAACTTATGACCATTTATTCAGAGACCATTTAAAATTATGATGGCACGGAACAAATGGTTATGGCCATGCTCAAAATTCCAGCTGTCTGAGCACCCCTGTGATCTCATGACCATGATCTGGATTTTTGGCAACTGGCTTACATTTACGACCAACTGCAACACCATAGGATCACCGCTTATAACCTTCCCTGCTGGCTTTCCCAGAAAGTCAAATGTAAGTCTCACCTACTGATTCTGAAATCTTTCAGAACATATTATTTTGTTATTATTTATTAAGTATTTTAATAAAATATGATATACCCAGATTTTTTTTAGGCATACATAATGCAAACATCATGTACTTGTCAGAGGTCCTTGCCTCTGCACTTTGCACTAAAGACCGCTTTAATAGAGTGCCTTGCAAGATAAAATCTACCTCAAGCTGATGCAGCAGAGCTTTTCCCTTTTTGTTTATTTCTACCATCAATGTGAAAATAGCAACTTTAACATCTTGTTCCACCAGTTTTTGATTCCGATTCACTTCATGGATTCTATAAAATGTAGAAAGACTATTTAGTATATTTATAACAGTACAGTGATCACAATTTGTGATGTTGCTGATGTTCAGATCTTGATATTGTACAAAATATCACAGCAGCATTTAATTAAGAATAAATCTTCAAGCTTAACTGCTGGTGACTTCTGCATATATTTCATTTTCTTGACAACAGTAAAGAAATGCTTTGCCACTATGTCCTTTAAAATATCTTTTTCAAATTTCCAATGTAGTCTATCTTTTTTGTTACCTATCTAATTATTAACGAGTTCAAATCCAGCTTACCTTTCAAAATCAACCAAGGTTGCTCAAATGCTACCTCTCTATACATAAATTGCACATTTCAAAGCTACACAAAACACAAAAAAGTTATATGCAGCACAATGTGGTGATTTTTGTCATTTTTCTTAGTGTCAAGAATATAATTAACAAGAGACCAAAGTGCAATAGGCATGTATTGTACATATCTGGGATGTCATAGCAGCGTGGTTTGTTCAACATAGGAATTTAAATAGAATATCTTTCTATCTGTATGCATATACGTATATGCACACCAAAATACAAATACATACAAATGGTGTGTGCATGTATATATATTGACAAAATCAAAAGAAAAGCGAAATGGTCTAGGGCTTCCTGACTGAGCAGGGGGTTGGACTAGATGACCTCCAGGGTCCCTTCCAACTGTATTATTATTATTAATTATTAATTATTAATTATTATTATTATTATTATTATTATTATTATTATTATTATTATTATTATTATTATTATTATATTTTGTCAATATGATGCCCAGGATTCGCAGAGGGCCTTCTCTGTGGGAGCTCCCACCCTCTGGAATGAACTGCCCCCAGAGATCAGGGTTATCCCTGATCTCCCTTCCTTTCGCCGCGCCCTCAAGACTTGGTTATTCCAGCTTGCAGGACTGGCCTAGGGTAATTTTTAGAGGGGTTTTAATTAATATTTTAAATTGGACAATCTTTAAATATTTAATTAATTTTAAACTTGTATTGTTGTTTATGTATTTTAATTGATTGTCAGCCGCCCTGAGTCCTACGGGAGAAGGGCGGGATATAAATCTAAATAATAATAATAATAATAAAGTGTTATTGTATATATATAAATACAAACCAAACACATAGATTTTATAATTGCTAAAAGGCCATCTAATATATCAGCCAATTTCTTTAAGCTTCAAGAAAACACTGAAAGACTCTGGAGAATATTCTATATTAAAGCAGCTAATAACTGTCAAAATCTAGTGTGTGCAGTCCTGGCATCTTAGCTCTTTCATTATTCTCAGATTCTTTTTTAAATACTATGCTAATAGATGCGGCAACAGGTTCACAGAGAATGTGGACTCATACCATTATTGTTTTGCTTAGGAGAATGTGTGTAATACTATATTAAAATAATCTGTACAAAAGCTACTGCACCCACTTACAGTGACATAATAGGCCCCCATCATGCTTGATTAAAATAATTGCCTAAGAGTGCTACATGGTTAGGTGACTATTATAACTAGAAGGGAAAATGGAAGGTATCTCTAACAGATATTCAGAGAAACGTTTCAAAATAAACCAAAGGGGAATAGGAGAGTAAATTTTACCACTGATGGGTTTACAAGGGTAGAATGAAAAGCAATGCCTCCAGTGGTATAAGTCACCAATAGTTACTGACATGTTAGAAGCTCTGATGCATTATTTAGCATCATTCACTTTAATTATCATGAAGTTGCTACTAGAAAAGATGGTGTTACTGTGTTTATGAGATGGAAGTCTGCAGTGAGTATTCATCAGGGTACTTTAAATAACACATCATGACTGAACTTTTGACTGTCGAAGGAGTCTTTCCATTTGAAATTCACCACCAAACCCAGGTTGTTTATGGTGATGACTGCTGATGGGAGCACTAGCCAAAAATGTAAAGATTGTGAATCAGGAAGAGGTGATTCGTGCCATGAACAATAAAGTAGAAGCCTTTTGACAGCATTGGCTGAGCTTCACACAAGAAATGTTGATGAACTGATTAAGGACAATTGGTGGATCACTTGAAAGGAACTTGCTGCCAAGCTCAGCATTTCATAGGAACATTATTTATGTTCTTCTCTTCAATATCAGAAAGATTGTGCAAGATGCTCCTAGCATGCTTATGGCAGAAATGAAACCATCAAGAATTGAAATTTGTTGGCAATCGTTGCCATACTACAAGAATGAAACTGAAGAATTTCTTCATAGAATAGGCTGATCATTATGACCCAGAAATGAAGCATCTGTCCATAAACATCATCCCTAATTTTCACCTGTGGAAGAAAAATTAAAAAACTAGGCTTTGGCAGGAAAACTCATGATTAGTTTTTTGGGATGCAGATGGTGTTGTTCATATTGACTACCTGGAACCAGACATCACCATCAACTCAAGAGCACTATAATGTCATACTCAAAACTTTGAAACAATGATTAAGCAGAGTTTAGAAGCACAAGAATGAAATTTTTTTCTAACATGACCATAGTAGGCTTCACATATCACAAGCCACCCAAGAGGCAATTGCGAACTTGGATCAGATTGTCTTACCCCATCTGCCATACACTCCAGATTTGGTGCCATCTGACTTCTACCTTTTCCCAAAAATAGTTTGTGGGCATCTATTTGACTCAAATGAAGATTTGGAAAGGACTGTCAGGACCTGGTTGAAGAGACAAAGTGTGGAGTTCTTTCATGATGGCTTTAAGAAGTTTGTCCATTGTTGGGAGAAGTGTGTAGTGAATGGTGGAGATTATGTGAAGAAGTAAATATAGGCAAAGAGCTCATTTCCTGGAATATTTTTCTGTTTCATGTATTAGAATACCACTATTAAACTAAAATTATGGAGGCAAAGGCATTACTTTTCATTCAACCCTCAGTTTTCTTTTTTCTTTTAAAAATATCTGGGCAGGCTTATAGCCACATAACATAATTATGTCTCCTCCATAATCTCTTCCTGATTATGATATTTATCAGACCATGCAATTACCAAGTTACCCCTTCTGCCAAAAAATTTATTACATTTTAGGTAGCATGATTTAGGGTAGGAATTCTGTTTTTCTTTCGCTGTATCCAGTGCATTCATCTTGCTTATAAATAACCTGCAGATATTTACTTGGCCACTGTAGGAAAAGATTTATGCTTTGTTTTGATTAACTGCCATTTGTTATATTATTAAAACATACTTAGGAATAATTACATTCAAAGTCCTCCAAGTTCATCTGATGTGAATAAAGCTCAAAATTATCTTACTCTGATTCTCTTTTAGGCATTTTCATGTGCATATATTAAACTCAATATTCTACATGTCAAATGTAGAGAGGTAAAAACTAAATGAATCCAATTACTGCAAATAAAACTTCATTTTATTGAAACTTTTTAACAGGAAAAAGAAGCTAATTGAGATATTAAAATAATATTTAATACTGCAAAATAAAACTCAATACCTATTTTGAATCTGCTCCCCTGTATATTTTATATACTTGCTTTTTTCCATCAATTTTGTAATAAGAGTGTCAATTATTACTTTTTGATTCTGAAAGGCTTCTTCTATGAATTGGTATCTGCAGAAAAAGAAAAAGAAAGGAAAAAGAAATATGCAGCATGTTTACATTAGGTGTATTTTATATATAATCTTTTAAAAACACATAGACTAAAACTGAATAGAGAGGGGGGAAAAGAGAATCAAAAGATATAAATATAACCCGATGAGATC